AATATTAACTGCTCAGCAACATTATGGGTATAAGTTCATCACATTATCTAAGGAAAGGTGGGTTGCAGTTGGTGACGGATATATGGTGCCCAACGAGCGTTCATCTGTCCTTGTGATGTTGTGGTGAGTTATACCTTTTTCATGTTGTCGGTTTATGTCCATTTTATTCCACTTATTGTGTTGGGTAGTAGTTTTACAAACGAGATTTCTTGTCTGTTTGAGGATACGTATGTTAACCGTTAATGTTTTATCTAGAATTATAAATATAGGCAAAAAACAACAGGTGTAGTATTTAAGCTTATACATTAAATGGACCTATAATTTCGGAGGCTCTCAGATAGGAACTAGAACTAATATCGTTTGCAAACTCTTGTAGTTTGTCATTAAGCACCTTTTTGAAGGAGGCCAATGTACTTGCTTGACGCATTTCCATTGGCAGTTTATTCCATATCTGTGCATACCTAATCAAGTAAAACTTTTGCCTGGTGGCTGTTTTACATTGTTCGATAGCTACTGTACCCTTAGTGTGTCTTAGTTTGTAGCCATTGTCATCTGAAAGTCGAGTGCCATTAGTAGAGGTAAAAACTAAGTGGTTTAGAAGCTTATAGTAAAGTGTCAAGTTTAGTCTCAGGCGTCTTAGCCATAGTGTTTCTAGTCCTAGGGTATCACATCTAGTGGAGTAGTTCGTACCATTTCCGGTTCCGAGTGATTTTAACGTGAAGTACCTCTGCACTCCCTCGACTTTCAATTTGTCCCCTATGCGTATGCTACTATACATGAATGAACAGTAATCAAATAAAGGACGCACACAAACCTTGTACAACAGAATTCTAGACTCATTTCTGTAGAAGTTCCTGAGTAGAAAGCCGATAAGTCTGCGTGACTTTGACACTTGTTTGGAGATATGTTCAGAAAACGATAAGTTATGTGAATATTTCAGCCCTAGGTCCACTACAGATTCCAGTCGTTGAAGTGCATGGCCTTGAATTGTCAGGTCAAGTTCTAAATTGTTGCAACCTATGCAGAGCCAGCCACATTTTTCGACATTAAATTGGAGTTGCCAGGTGTCACACCATCTATCCATTTTTTCTAATTCTTGCTGTATGGCGTTTACTGTTATTCCAAGATCTGTGTTCTTGCATTTATACGTCACTTTTAAGTCATCTGCATATAGTACTGGTTTACCTACACTAAAGCATTCACAGATACTGTTTATATATATTATGAATAAGAGTGGGCCTAATACACTTCCCTGGATTACACCACTACTTACTGGTTTAGGCCTTGAGATTATGGAGCCAACTTTCGTTGTCTGACTTCGGCCACAGAGAAATGATTTTATCCAGCTCAGGAGAGGATCACATATCCCTAGTGAGCATAACCTGCTGACTAGCAGATTATGGGGAACTCTGTCGAAGGCTTTTGTTATATCGAAATAGAGCACAATTACTAGTTCTCTGTTGTCCCTACTTCGTGTAACTTCATTGAAAAAGTCTATGTGACAGGTCACGCATGATCTCTTTTTGAGAAATCCGTGTCGTAATCGATTGATAAGTTCATGTTCTAGTAAGTTGTCTGACACTTGGTCTTTAACCACTTTCTCCATTATTCGGGATATTACCGGTGTTATATTGATAGGTCTATAGTTGCATACACTGGTTTTGGCCCCTGCTTTGTGCTTAGGTAATATGTATGTGGTTTTCCACACTTCAGGATAAGTTCCAGTTTCTAGTGAGAGAGTAAATATTCTAAGTAACAAGACTACCATTTCCGTGCTACCATTTTTGTACATGACAGATGGTATGTCATCTGTTCCAGTACTACCATTAGACTTCAAAGTCTTAATCGCTGAGTCTATATTTTGTATATTAAAGTCTATTCCGCCTAATTTGTGGTTGCTTTTGCAAGTCATTTGGAAATTTGGGGTTGGGTGCACTCTGGCGTCATTGCAAAACCACTCATTGAGGAGTTCACTGATAACCTGGGGATCATTGTGTATTATACCCTTATGCTCCAAGCTGCTTACAGTATTGTCTTTACTACTTTTTAGACGTCTCTGCAATATCCTACAAAGTTCCTGAGTTTTGGAGTTACCCACAAGCGCTTTATTTTCTTCAAGTTGTGACCTCATTTTGTGTTTATCTTCGAGCCGTTTGAGAGTTTCATGTATTTGGTTTAACGCATTAAACTCCTTAAATACATGGTATTTCCTTTTCAATTTCTTTAGTTTTAGTCGCGTTTTGCGGTCTATAAATGGAGTTGGTGTCTTTAGAGCAGATTTTAGGGGCGCGATTATGTCTCTTGCTGAGCCAATTGTTTTGTAGAAAATATCGAGTGATACTTCTAAGTTATTGTTAATGAAGTATTCTTCCCAGTCAGAACTTCTCAGCAGATCTGATAGGAATTCCCAATCGGCATTCTTATAGTCCCTATACTCATAGTGAACCGGGGAATTTTTAGGTGGGTGTTTAGTTGTTAGTCGGAATGGTAGCGTGCAGTACAATATGTTGTGATCACTGTTATCAAGTTTATTTCCTACCTCTATCGAGATGGGCTCAATTTCATGACAAAGGATTAAGTCAAGAGTGTTTTCATTTCTTGTAGGGAGGCGTACGCACTGCTTCCATCCCCCTACGTCTATAGCTTGTAGTAGCTCGTCATGGATTCTAGGTCCTGTACAGGTATCCCAGTTTACTCCAGGTAGGTTGAAATCGCCACAGACTACTTTGTAGTCAAAGTCCAGCGTAGGTGCATGCTCTAGTATTTCTCCAATAGCTATATCAGTCATTTCAGGGCTATTAGGGGGTCTGTATAAACATCCCACGAGAATTTTATTTTCGTTTGTGTGGATGCTTATCCACTTAGATTCAGGGAGTTTGTCAGTAGTTGGGTTATTGAAAGTATTGGAGTTAGTGGATTTAGAGGCATATATTAAGCAGCCGCCTCCTCTTTTGTCAACTCTATCGTTCCTATAGATGTCGTAGTTGTCTATTACTAGCTTTGAGTCAGGTATATCAGTAGTAAGCCAGGTTTCAGTCACCATTATTAGTGTTGGCCGTTCTATGTATGCCAGGCAGCGAAGCGATATTATTTTGTTAAGGAGAGATCTAGCATTCAGGAGCATAATCGTTAGTAAACCAGAGTTATTGGAGGAGAGGTTAACATGGTTACTTGTTTCTATCCCTACGTTATGTTTGGAGGGGCTCTGAGGTGAGACAGAGTCAGTGTGTGTACTATTTCCTGGATGAATTGTGCAGCGAGTGGGGCTATCGTTTGCTGCATCCGAAAATAATCCTGTTGCATGTTTTCACTTTTAGCATCCATGGGTGGGCATCTGCGTTCATTTACAGGTGATATATAGTTTGCTTGACCTAGGTACCCTGTGTTAAGATTACCTTGGTAGTTGTACCTCATGGGTCTTTCGTAGTCGTATGCATATTGGGTCACATCACATGTGTGAGTGAAGTTATTGAGAGGGTCATGTGTCGATCTATACTCATTATGTTGCTGAGGTTCAACATAGATAGTGTGAGAGTTTGGACAAGAATATGCATTAATATGGTGCCTATACGAGCCCCGTTTAGTGCTCCTTATATCCTGATGATCCGTTCTACGTTGCATTCCCAAGTTATGTGCGTTGCTAGGCATATTACTCCTAGTTCGGGAAGCGGTGTTTTCATTCACATGATGGATGACTTTTTTGGGAATATGGATTTTTACCCATGCATTTTCTTTTTTTAGACTGACATGTTGCTTATTAGACTTATTGAGAGGGAGGTATGTCGAAGTCTGGAGTGGAACTCTAGGCTTTGTCGTCTTTCTTGCAGTTTCTACTGCGGGACTCTCGGGCTTGCATCCAGATTGAGTGTGGTCTGCCAGTGGTTTCTGGTCAGACATAGTTTGTGAGTCAATATCAACCTCATGTTTGTCAGCAGGTTTTCCAGATGTGCTCTCATGTACTTTAGGATTGCACCCAGTGACACTGCTCTTACTGAGTTTCGAGTCGCTTTTACTTGCCGATTTTTTTTCCAACACTATACAGGTGACTTGCTGTGCTTCAGTGTCCGTCGACACTTTAGCACTGATACCAGGTGTAGTTCTCGGTGTGGTCAACTTTCTATCGAAGGAGTTCTTGGTTGCTTGCCTTTGGTTAGTTGTTTTATCCGAGACTACTTTAATAGTCTTGAATTTAGTGGCAGTAGCCAGAAAATCTTCGGCCTTCTTAAATCGTTCAGCTATTATGTAGCTGTCGAACCTAAAGAGTATAGGACAGGGATGCTTTAGGTCTTTCTTACTTAAGCGAATGCACTGACAAGGTGCACTCAAGAGATTTGCAGCCTTCAGCAATGAGTGCTGGACCGACTTAATGGGCTCGCTATCTGGTACATTATACACTATAGCGTTTTGTTTCGAAGCCAGCCTTTTAACAACTTCGCTGGATAGAAAGTCAATGGCGTTTTCTAACTCCTTCGCATTTTCTGAGTCAGTAGGCGTCATTCTAGAGGTCATATTAAAAAGCTTTAGGATTGTAGGATCCTGCAGTTCCTTTTTCATAAGTGAGATTGTTTCGGGTATACATTCAAATGAACTTAATTTCGTTTTTAATTCATCAATCTGTAGCTGCATCTCTTTAATAATGCATGTTAAGTAAGAGAGCTCCACTTTTTCAGACAGAACATCTTCCACCTGTATTACAGGGGTCAGAGTTATGTTCGAGTCTTTTCTGTTGGGTGAACTACTAATAATAAGGGGTGGTAATGTGTTATTAGACGAGCTGGTGCTATTTTCTAAATTACTGGTGTTCACACGAACACTCTTTTTAGAATTTCGGCCCATCGTTATTAAAGATTAATCAACAGTAAGCAATAAATGAATATAAACGAAAACACGTGCAAAAAGCGTCACCTGGTTCGAACGTACCGGGCAATATGCTATTATGAATATTTATGGTCTAAATGTTGCAATTGTCCTTCTTCGATTCGGGTGGTTTCGCATATTAGTGAATACGTAATTACTGCTCACAAAATGGTGCATAACCATCCATGCGATAGGGTGTACATGCAGAATGACCCCTGGTATAGAAGACTAACAGTAGAAGAGAAAGAAAACTTGGAACCCCTTCTTCAGCAATCGCACTCATCCGATGAAATAATTGCGCATGTTAAGGAAAAATTCCGCAAGGATATAACTCGTAGTGACGTTAAAAATATGAAAGCCCTAGTTAATAAAGGTAACTTAGACGTAATTGTTATTTACTTAAGGTATGTCAAGCCGTCGTGACATTTTTGATTTCCTGAAATGCCGTGGGAAGTTAATGGAGTATTACTCAGATGAACCTACGCGGAATTCACTAACAAGAGTCTGTTTTTCAACTAATGAGCAAATCCAGTTGTATAAACAGTTCCCGGAGGTTGTCGGTATTGACTCTACATATAATACAAATAAAGGGAAGTAAGTTTACCAATTCATTAATTAACACGCAGGTATTCATTGTTCCAATTACTTGTGACGGATAATTTTGGTCGTGGGCGACCAGTGTTATTCGCTTGGACTCGAAAGGAATTCAAGCGTGATGTAGTCTGGATTTTGGACTCATTTAGTCAAATAATGGAAGATACATCTAAAACTGAGACATTTATTATGGACTGTGCGCAATGTGAAATAGGAGCAGTGAAGTTAACGCACAGGCAAGCGCACATTGTGCTCTGTTCTTTCCATGTTTGTCGTGCATTCTGTCGTAAAGTAAATTTTTTTAGCACATTAAAAATTTTACTTGCAGACACGGAATCCCATTGTTAAGAACTATTTATGTCGCTTAGTTCAGTGTAAAAGTAGATCAGAGTAATGCCTGTAATATTTTCATTTTCCAGATTTAATTTCTATTATAGAGTTATAAGCAGATTGGATGTTCGTGTCAGTCAATATATACAGCGTCGTTGGATGAGTAGACGAGAATTGTGGGCAGCAGCTTTCAGAGATCACGTGCTGACTTATGGTAATGCTACTAATAATCGAGTAGAAAGTTCACACAGGCAAGTGAAGCGGTACTTGCAAAGGTCAGACAGTCTGCAGAAAAGCATGCTGAAGGTTTATAAATGGTGTCAACGAAGTTATTCCAGAATTCAGCAGGAGTCGATGATTGCTCGGACATGTTGGTACCCCTGCAGGCACTTGCTGTTGGTCCATTTCAGAAAGCCGTGTTTTACAGGTACATTTGCGTTTGTGTTCGTAATTATATTAACTTTTCTTGTTCCACCTTTTATAGTCAATCATGTGCTTCAGAAATGTAAACACTGGACGTGGTCACGCGACTCATGTGCATCTCAAAGCATTTCCGCAGTTGTCCCTCGAAATCCGTGTAACATAGTGCAAACCCAAAGGAGGCGTTTTCTTAATATGTAAACAAACTAATGTTGTCTTATAATAAATATGAACTTTTCATATAAATCTTGTTGTCTTTCAATTAATGTGTTCGCTTTGTGAGCACGGCATGCCAGGCCGGTGCTCTGTAGGACATGAACTCGTTACTATACTTACGTGTAACTCTGTAGGAACACTATCGACCGATATGCGTGGTGAATTATAAGTAGTTTAGTGGCCCTTAAGTCTCTGTCTACAGTTACGTGAAAACGTCTCATAGTCATACGCAAGTCTGTAGGGAACAATGACAACAATAGGTACAACTTAGACACTGCATTGCAGTTACAGTTGGTATACGGTTTCCTGTATTACAAATCAGTGTATTACTAATATTTAAATTAAAACGTTATGGCAGTCCCTATGACAACGTGTGTTAACGTATACTGTAAAGTTAGGTTTACACATGACGAATATATACGTAGGTTGAGCTGTAGCAGTAGTAGTAAAAATTCGCTAACGTTCAATTATGCAGTCAAATAAATCATCAAGTATCATTGATAAGTCTGACATCTGCATCGTCATGCAAAAAAAATTAGTTTCATTTAGATAGAATAAGAAAAATATTGTAAGCAGGATGTTAAATGTATTTCATGAAAAAAATAAGCAAATGTCTTTACACAATTGTTTATCGTAATTATTTCGCCCATGTTGAATTCCTGTGACCCAGTAGACTGACATTGCCGGATATCTGTAAATAAGTGAACAAAGTGTATCTTTTTAAATCGCAGAAGTAAGTAAGACGTAATATTAAAGTTAAACCCTTTATATTTACATACCTTTTCTGAAAAAGGTTCTTTTTCATTCTTCCGTTATGAAAGCATTCTTCTGCAGTTTTCAATGTCACACAGAGATTGTTCGCCTTATACAGTACAGCAGCAAGCAAATAATGTTAATTCAATAAGTCGTCTAAACGGGTATTTACAATGAATGCATGTAATTTCTACAGGCACAATAAGTTATGTAATGAATTACAATCCTCAAGTATCATAAAATAATACTTTTTCAGAAGTTCAAGTTGTTCACTTAGTGAACGAGTAATTAGAACAGGTTATGATAAGTGTCAACTTGTAAACCATTCACAATGAACAGTGTACAGGAAACTTCATCACATCTTGGTTTCAACCAACTTTTCCTTCACGCACATAAGCATCCAGTCACTACATACACTCAAGCATTGTAACCTGAACATCACAAAATCCCTACAGATAACTTCTTTCATAATAAATCATTTAAACATATGAGCCATAAGTGATTCTTCAATATCCTTCATAGCCACAAGTAAATCATTAAGCATCTCAGAATATCTTAGTGATCTGAACACGAACAGTTGTTAAGACTGGGATAACTTATGTAACAGGTGCAGTAGTTGTAGGACACACCTGCTAGCTACTAATCGACAGAAAATTGATAGTAATTTTAAGTAGTCTGACATTTCAGGAGGACCATCTGCAGTATTCTTCGTAACCCCATGCACACTGATATACACATAATCTGATGCCATTTTTGACAATGAACAATTAAAGCCTTCTGACATTCCAAGTGCTAATGTCAATTAAACTAGTATCATGTCTTCGCCTAAGCAATTTTAAATGGGAACTTCATCAAAGTAGATATAATCACCAGGAAATGCAGCAGCCTGTCTCATTCATTGCATGATCTCTTCCATGTGCTATGGAATATTTCAGTCATCACAGATGATAAAAGAAGTGTCTGACATCCTCAAAACACACATCTAACTTATGTCTCTAGGCTATTTCTCTTTCAAATGCACCATTCTCATAGAATAACTGGGATGACAACAGCCATTGCCTGCAGTCAATTTACAACCTTAAGATCTGAAACAACTCACAAAAAACAATGCCTAAATGCTCTAAAACCCTAATAATGGACTTTTTATGCGATATTTCTTCAAAATGATGACTTTTTTATTAGTAATTCGTCTAGGCTGTCATGACAGTTTTACGCATTACTACGAACACAATACACAAAAATATTGCATTTTTCGGCTACAGAAGCCTAAAACTAATCAAATAGAATATATTTTCACAATACTGAGCGGTTAGAACGTCTTTTTAGGCGTGAACGCGATAACCCATGCAATGCGCGAAAACACCTTATCATAGAACATAGCCTCACTCGACTGTTCCCACAAAGTGAAGACAAAAAATACAGCAACCATGTGGTTTCACCATAAAGCAAATTTATGTATCCAATATCCAATATCGTTTTTACGAGCTAGTATAAACCAATTTGATTTCTTTGTGCTCGCCTCTTGATTGTGAGGTAGAGGTTCCTGATCTTTGGTAAACGTCTGTGTAGCTTGTCCCGCCACTCGACTGTCGTAGCTTTGGTTGACTCCAACAGGAGTAGTGCTGGGGTTAATTATATGGGGTTTGTAGTATGAAGTGTGTTAAGACTGTTACTACTGTGAATGGAGTTGATCCTTTCACCAGTTAGTCTTTCGGTATCGTCGTCAATGGAAAAGAGATAATAATAATAGATATAATTAGTAAAGGTATTCAGACTAACAGACAGAAAAAGAATAAGAAAACGTAACAACAGTCAGTCAACCGGTATACATATATACATATATATATACCAGTAATAATGATAATGATAATAATAATAGGTGTAGTTAAAGCTGTCAGGAGAGTAAGACTGAAGGGAATGTGAAGAAGTAAAACGACCAGTTTAATTGTCTACCTTTGAATGGTATATGCGATTTTACGATGAGGCCGAATGGTACAAATGCAAGTTTCGACAGTATTGGACGAATGCAGGAAAGACGATTACCGGTCGCAATGAATGATAACAATTGTAATAGTAAACTGAGATAAGCAAAGTGAAGGGAGAAAAATGGGTGACAAGATGGAGAATTCCTAGAGGGATGAAACTGAAGTTCAAGTTTCGATAGGGTAGAAAAAACGCGCAAACGTGCACCTTTTGAATAGAAAGTTCCGATTTAGTCAGTGCTGTTGCAGCTTCTTTAGCTATAAATATAGAAAACGTAGGAGAACCACGCGTGGTATTGAATTCGGAATTTAGTGTGTAACTCTGAAGGCTATGCTAGTGTCGATATGATGTGCTATATCTACCAAGAGGAACATAATCGAACTTTGTGTGCATCCGATTTCCTCCTTGCCAAACAAAGTGTTTTCTAATCCGGAGATGAGCCTGCCTAACCGCACGTCCTATATAACTGAAATCACTGGAACAGTTGAAATGGCATGCAAAGAGGAAGAGCTCATGTTAGGCAAGACGTCTCTCAGTTTCTCGTTGAATATTGGACGGCTACTGAAGGATAGGAACAGATGTGCAGAGTAGAAAGTCTTCTTTACCCCTCTTGTTGGACCTTGGAGTAGAATCTCTTCAGGAGCGTCTGCTCTGAATTAGAGGAGTAAAAATAATGACTTCATCTCCACTATTGCCGCTTCATGTAAGCTAATATTTTACTCTGGGTATCCGTTCCCGCTTAAAATATCCCAGATGGCCTGAAATCTTCAGAGCAAGTCGACCTCGCTCTAAGTGCTAAGCATCTGACCAAATTACGACTGTATATCACAGGTACGGAGTTGAGGAAGTGCGCATATTGAGCTTCGGTCTATGGTCTTATAAATATGGTTATCCGATGAAACCACCCTGTCCTCTCACTAGTAAGTCGTCGAGAAAGTGCAGAGAGTCCATGAATTCTTCTTCTTAGGTGAAACGGACAGCCGGGTGAGCAGAATTGAGGTGGCTCAAAATTAAATCTCTATGTAAACCTTCATCTTACACTACAAAGTTGTTATCCATATACTTACAGCACAATTCCATATTAGCTACATATTATTTAAGCGGACAATTTTCCAGTTTTGCTAGATATGTGTTAGCAAACATATGGCAGAGTGGAGATCCAATGGTCACACCATCACCACGACTGTACATTTCATTATCAAACAAGAACTGGGAATTCGTCGTACATCTAAGTAGTAGTTGCTTTGCAGTGGGTCGATGAAGTTCGTCAATCCACAATTTCTTCAGATCGTCATCGATGTAACCATATTTGAGCATCAGTAAATGTAATATTCTCCCTAGTTATCTAATTCCCCTTTTTATCATCGCCTAAAACTTATTCTGTGCAGCGTCAGAGGGAGACTTAGATCTCGTTCTGATGGAAAGCTGGATTTATGCTTGCGTTTCACAGGTGATGTGACGGAGGTATATTTGGTTTTTACACTTTATGCACAGACACTCAGGTTCGCTCATTCTCAAGCTTTTCATAAGACTTCCGGACGTGTGTACGACTAAAACTTGAAGTGCCTGATATCCCCTCTCACTTAAAATGAGACAGTGGTATTTTCGGTAGGCTTCAAAGAAGGACGGCGAAGTGATTTATGGCCCTTCGAGATAATTTTGTTTCGGTTGAAATGATGTTCTCTGTCAGCTCAGGCCCTCATATCTTGCTGCAATATATCAATTTTCCTCTTGATTCCTTGAGTTTAGTTCATTATGTCTCACCCTACCCTCCCAGTTTGGTATTTCATTAGTCTCTGGAACTTGCTGCCGCCTCCAGTAAGGAATTCATTTTGTTTATGCAATCATGTCTGTCCATAATTTCTACACAATATATGTTATCTGGTCTGGTGATGACTGTTTTATCTTATCTTATTCTTCTGGCAGCCTGACGATGCTTTGTTGTTGGTGTGCTATGAAGCTATGGTGCAATGACTGTACTGATGGCAGTGGTCCACCGGAGTTAATCTCAATTGTTCAAGGTCATCACCAGAGAAGGCAACCAAGTCCCCTGTCTGAATGCAGATGTCCTCAAGGCGTATATCGATATCCATTTGACTGATGTCCTCACGAGAATAAAAAAATTAGGTTGGAGAGATAGCGCTTCATGTAAACTTACCCGTTTATACGAAATATACATTATATTATTATTCATGTTGTAATTTATTGAGAGTTCCGCTAGAGAAGTTACGGGTCTACCCTTCAGTATTCGCTCAGTATTTAGTATTTACCTTGAGGAGCTCGGTTTTCCGAGCCTTTGACCGATTGTACTAGCATTTTTGAGGAGTTCGACTTGACGAAGTCACCAAAGAATTCCATGAATTGTAGTCACATATCTTCTGAAGAGTTGAGAAGTGCATAACTGCTTTGTGATATGTTTGTTGCCAGTTGTGTGATATTAGAGCGGATCGATTCTAGTTGATTAGGAGTACAACATTTTCCGAGTCGTTTCATCCTCTGGCATTCTGCTTCTGCGTAAGGAATTCAAGTGAATGTTGGGATATCAATTATTCTGGATACAATTCTCTATAAATTCACCACATATTCTTGATTCGGGGAGTCACACGATGAGCTTTCGTAATTCACTGAACACATTGTCCTCAACAGGATACTCAGGGGGATTATAAGACTCAATAGTGCAAAATATTCTCATGTCATGGACTGAAAGTCTATTTCTAACGATAAGTATTATATTTAACACTTATAATCACATTAGGAGAATTTACTGGGAAGAATGTTCTTCCCTCATATCGAACTACGCAAACGTCTACTGACTAACAGGTACCTTTACTACACAACCGAGAGGCGAGCACAAAGAAATCGAATTGGTTTACTTCAGCTCGTAAAATATGATATTGGAAATTGGATTCAGCACAGCGGTAAGACACTTTAGTGTGTGGCGCGGTTAATTCGAAATGGACGGAGCTCGATCGCGATTGCGTCGTCGAGGTGGGTTTCCTTTGGTTGCGAGGACTGCAAACTGGTTAAATCTTTGCTTGCTATCCAACTCTTAAGATGTTTAAAGGCGAAAACCACATTCCTCTTCGTAGTTACAACAAGAAGAGCCTCATGAAATAAATGTGACGAAATCTGAGTTTCTTCTCAGGAACTTGAAGGTTTTTGGAGAAATCTAGATTCACAGAATTATTGGAATCGGTGGCGGTAATATCATTAAGACCACATAAAATGTTGCAGCGCTTTTTCATTTCCAATTTTATTAAGTCGTAATTATAACTTCCGTTTTTCAACTTGTGCACCCGTATCTTAAGATGCCCTATAATTATAGTGTATTAGAAGGAATTCGTGCTTGTAATAAAGAGTATGAGCAGATATAGGCCTGTCCTATTATCTAAAATTATTTTGTGTCACGAGAAAAACCAGAATGCCTCTGGCGTGTATCTGTGTAGATGATGTTACATGGAAGCTTAGAAGAACCTATGAGAATGCGTCATGGCAGATAATTGTATAATTATTGGTGTCAGTCACCGTCTTAACTGACAGTCTTCAATTTCCGCAGAGTATCTAGAGGGATATCGCCATGTTGATAATAATGATAACCTTGTTGCTACTAGGGTATTTTGAGCTACTTCGTTTTGCCCGACTCCGCCTTACTTATTCTAAATTTTCCATATTCCTCACACGCTAGACTAGTCAATTCTAAACTTTCAGTTTGTATTTTGTCTCGTCTGGGTTACTATTCTTGTGTTTGGATTTCAAGTTTCAAGGAGCTATCTAACTGGCTTTTCTAAATTCATTAAATAAAATTTACAGTGGTTTTACTTCTGATATTTCGTCTTGTATTTGCTAAAAGAAGAAAGGGGTTTTATAGGTTGTACTGCAGCATAGATATTAGTTCCAAGTAGGTATCTAATGAACAAGTATAAACCATTGTAGCGCATTCCGAACAAAATTTAGGTTATTTGATGACTTATGGTTGAAATCCACATTGATTGTGTTTCTCCGTATGGCTTAATTCTGACCATCCGATTAGTTTACAGGTGTTGTGATTCTGTCATATTAAATATTATCCCCTTTTTTGATTAGATGCGGCTTTGAATCTCAAGGCATTAGTTCTCTAAGAGTTGCAGATGCGTCTCTTTGACGAGGGCCAACAGACATGTAACCTAGGTGGAGGGTTTCCTGCCAAATGCCTCCAATCATCTAGTTATTGCCTTTTGTAAGCCTTATTACAACGCCAGGGATGTGTTGACTCCTAGTTATAACTGTGATTCCGCAGTTTCATCATGCAACGTACAATCAAATTACCAGTAAAAAAAGGAATGTAATAGCACTACAGTAGAAGATGTACCGTGGCGTAACAATTACCTTTGGTGCATGTAAACTAGCAGTAAATTTTGCATCGTTGATCCAGGTGCTCATATTGAGCAGTCAGGAAACGTGATTCCTTCCAGTTATTTGTTTTTTGTGCCCTGTTGTATAAAGGTTTCTACAGTCATTAAGTCGGTTTATCGTCGTTACTGTTATTACTACCAATTGGTCAGCGGTAGAATGCTCGCAAACATTCATGGGTTCCGGGATTCGATCCCTGGCCGACGCACTACCTTACCTCCCTAAGCCGGTATAAGGGAAAGGTTGAACTTGAGACTAACAACCCCACTCCATAAAAAATAAACCTGCTCCCACCGAAACTTCAAAACTCTAGCTTGAAGCCTTATGTCTCACGTGGAACTTCAAGGAATAAAGAAAAGTGAGGACATCCGTTTCAGTTCTGGAAATGAGGCTGCTATATGGTGATTTCTGTATTCCAAAACGTTTTATTGGACTGAGTGTATTTTTTCTTCTGACTTTCCATAAAAGTAGCCTGCTTTCTGCTTCTTTACTATTCGCGGTCCTTAGGAAAGCTGAGAAGTTCTGAGAAAGTGTACTAATCAATAACCTTCAGAGTTATTTAAAATGTTAGACATAGTAGTTAAAATATCATTATTAGGTTTACTCTTCCTGAGATATCGACCTCAATCTATTGCTCACTTCGATTAGCGGTGGCTTAAAATTTAGTTAACTAACGTAAGTTCTTTATCTAAATATCAGATGAATCTCAAACTACTCACTACTTGATTAGTTCTTATTTTTAAATAAATAATAAAATTGCTTCGCTGCTATGCACAAATATTATGAACTCTATATTGTGATAAAGTTGTAATTATTAATTTTTTTCTTTTTATCTTCCGATAAATATGGTTCCTAGTTCAACAGAAATGTCGACTGAGTCTCAGTCGGTAGTAGACAATGTAGAACCTAAAAAGGTGGATCCATCTGCTGTAAGTACAAGCTCCTTGAAAACTAATTAAATAAACAGAAACTGTTACCTACCGTTGCTTGTGCAGTTAGATTATCTCAAGAATTCCCTATATCGGACACTCCTGCTTATATTTATTATAATGATTTCCCACAATACAAGGCCATTGCATCTGGACAGTCTAAGAAAATCCTTTCCATGTAATCATAAGTTTACTTGTTTTTTTCATACATTTATTCAGTTTACAAAATATTTTGGATATTTTAGACGCCAAAGCCAATGTTCTAGACGTTCCAGTAGCCAAGAGTATTGAAGAGAAATTCACATCCATTGTCGATGCCAATGACAGAATACTTGAAAAACTGGTATTTTTAAAATTATAATAAATAATTTATGACTTATACAATAACAGACAATGGCTATGAACTTTGAAGAAGATCTTAAGCGTAAAGCATCATTCTTGGAGTCAAAATCAGAGGATTTAGTAGCTGCAGTTCATCGGAGAAATAAAAATGTACATCTGTTGCATGTGAAATTAACTCTTTTTTTAGTTAAGAGAAGGCAACGATGAAACTACTGAAGCATCTGATGATGGTGCAATAAGACTTTTGTCTTCCAAGAATATTGTCAGACCACAAGCATTATTTTCACGTCCACCGGACAACTCTCATTTACCCTTCCGACCATTAATAAAATCGAAACCGAATTGCATTGTATCACTTTCTGGTAATTTCTTCCTAAAGTATATATCGATTTTTTCTTAAAGAATGTCTACCTGAACACTTAGAGGAGATGGAAGAGTAAGCATGTCCAATTCACTAACAAGTTATCGCATTCCTAAGGTATCCTCATCCATATCAACCAGAGTTGGAGGCTTTTTCGAGTTGTTTATCTACCTGGGAGGCAATGCTTTCAGAGGAGTTTCCAACTAAACCTCTAGATGAGTCGTACCGCTTTGTTAACCAACTAGAAGCTCTTCAAGAGACTGTAGACGCTATTTCTATTTGTAAATATATCGCAGTTGACTTGGAAGTAAGTTCACGCCTTCATATTTCACATCTTTATTAAGTCGTATATTTATCATTGATTCCTTGAAAGTGTGAAAAATGGCAGATTATGCATAAAAATTAAGATCAGTAGCCAAGAGCAAATTGAATATTGTACATATGCGTATGTGCAGTATGTAGACAGTTGACACATCCTAGTTGTTCACATTATAAAAGTCTTGTTTGTCGAAAATATTTGAAGGAGAAGCTTTATTAGTAATGCTCAATCTGCTGATGTAAACCAACAGAATGCTAGGGAAATCTATGGGACATCTGAAGTAACTTTATTTTATTCCCCACATCGCATATTGAAGTTTACCACATTCACTTCCTCCCATCGACCTTGTGTGCTAAACGCAGACATTATAATGTGGTCAAGTGAAGTTGTTGAAGAGATTCAACGTTTTCCGAGTGATATTGAAATATCCTGTGGTTTTATTGTACTTTTCTTCGCTCCTTTTACAATTAAAGTACTGCATTAATATTGATTTGCTTCTATGTGTAGTTTGAGAAAAATTTATCACGAGGGCTACTAAGATCCAGTTGTATTACTTGATATTTAACGTCTTGTATTCTGTAATGAAGTGGGATCTTCGAAATGTGGTTGACAGGAGGTTATTCAATAATAGCTCTCCTACTAGTTGTGCTTGTTTGTGTTGGAATTAAGTGATCAATTTCAAGGTTAAACTATTGTTCTTATTCCCTTGGGTTCCAAGTGGAACATAGGGCTTCAGCTGCACATCTCTCTTTTGTCCTGTTCTCCGTAGTCCTCTTCAGTTGGCCCTACGACTTTCCATAAGCTTTTATTTCCTTTTCACACTACCTCCTCCTGTGTCACCCTTCGACACCCTAGATAAGTGAAAGAAGTGAGTTCGTTCAAATTTTCTACTCTGATGGTGACTAGTGTTAACTGTTGTTATTGGTTAGGTATCTTTATCACCTCTGTCTTCTCTATGTTCACTTTAAGTGCATTCTTCGCTGCTTCGGCTGCCACTTTACTGATTTTCGCCTGTTGGTCTTCGAGTTTGTGTAACATTACACATGAATCCTCCACAAAGCTCAGATCTTCTAGAGTCTTCTTATCGGTCCACTGTATTCCTGTGTTCTCGCTCCCCACCGTCTGAAGCATAATACAGTCCACAGCAATTAGGAATATCATCGGTAATAGTGGGCAGCAGCCTTGTCCTACCCCTGTATTCACTTCAAAGTGATCTCTGGGTTTCCCGTTGTGGATCACTTGACAAGCGTCATTGTCATATCGATTTTGAGTGAGGCTGATAAAGATTTGGGGTACTAAGTGCCTGTGTTCAAAGAAAACATTAGAGGAAAGGTAATTATTCATCTGTTGGCTTTTTTTTATGGTGTTATGACCCCATAATGACCATCAAGTAAAACGTCAATTCCCAATCCTTGAAAATGTTTCAGTCGTAGTTTTACTACTTACTTTCTGCCTAGTAGTATATGTTTAGAACTATAATTTTATCTCGAGCGTAATGGTAGTTAACTGGGGTGTATTCAGCCCATGATTACTCACTGTCATTTTAGCATTTGACTTTCACTCTTTTCATTTTGGGCTTAACATGTTGGGAGCTTGTCGACGTTTATTGAGCCTGATGTAAATAACAAGGTGCTGGTGTATCATCTAGCTGTCTGGGGGGGGGGGATAATTATACGTATAAACTTGAAAGTAGCTTTTTAGCTCCTCCATTTTATCACTTTTTTTTATTCCGGAAGTAATTAAACTAGCGTTTAAACGGAAAAATACAACTACAGAAGGAAGAATGTTAAATACTACGGTATAGTAACATTACGGCCTACTTCAGGGGAATTCTATGATGTGTTATATGTATAAAACTTCGGCATTATGGTAATGTGTGTAGATACATATCAACTTGTTTATTGGATATATCGCAAAGTGAAACAGTATTATTACTTTACAGATGACGTTTAAAACACAATTCATCGTTCGCAGTCATGTCATTTGAAACTATACAACTTCGAAATATGATTTTTACAGTTCTCTCTCTTCCCTTGTATTCTTCGTAGGAAGTATATACGAAATTCTAAGAATAAAGTCATTAATAATAATAATAATAATAGTAAGGACGACATGCATGACAACCATACAACGAAGGATGACAACACCAAAAATAAGGAATTTAAAACACCAGTAGTACTTCCATACAAAGAAGGGAACCTGTGAAACTTCATATAGAATTCTCTTAACAAGCAGGAAAAAAATTCATGTTCAAACCCAACAAATTGTGTGGACTAAAGGACCTTGTGGAGTCCACTGGACAAAATAAATTCGTTTATCTAATATCCTGCAATGATTCTTAGGTCAAAACAATAGGACAGAGTCACTTAGATTAGCGGAGCAAAAAAAACCTAGCAAAATCTAGATTACTAGTTGACTCGAATAAGATAATAAAGCAATCTAGAAAATAGCTTAGCTAAAGCACTACATGCAATTGTGCACAACCACGTAATAGGATGGGGCAGAATGACAATGTGAGAATCTAATATAATAAGGGAGAGAAAGATGTTGATAACTGAAGGTTTATCTATCAGATCGACTAAGAATACTTGCCTTAGGAATGACTCAACACCTGTTAATCTGATCATCTGGATAGTGCTACTACAAATAGCAAAGGCGAAATTAAACTATCATATCCAAAACCACAGTGACCTTGAACAACCAATCAGAATTCAGATGCAAAAAGGCGCATAATCGTTGTAGCTTATGTGTTGTAAGAATGTCTCCTAATCAATACACAGATGATCTATGCAGAAATCGTACCATGCACGATATATCCATTCATCCAGATGACTGTAGATCACGGTGCTTTGAGATCTATTGGTATTTCTGACACTATTCTTCTACTTACTCCTAAATCTAACCATAATCCTAACTCCTAACCCTAAACCTAGCCTTAACCTCAATCTAAAACGGCCTAACCCTACCTAACAGTGAAGATTTGCATAGAAAGTACCTAGTAAATAAGTAGAATACTGTATCTATCCTCCCCAAGTCCAAAAAGGCCGGTATGATTTGATTTGGAATGACATTTCATAGCATTCCCTGTGTCTGATCGTTCCTTGAAGGTCAATGTTTGAAAGGCCTTGACTTTGTCTATGATACGTTAACTTCGCCATAGAAAAGAATAATGAGAACTATAAAAGTCAGGTTTTGAATTTGTATAGTACAAAACTGATGAAATGATTATGAACGTTAAATTGTTTCAGAAACGTCATCCAGTGAATAATACATCCGACAAACGAGATAATATGAAATTCTACTAAATTCCAGTATCGGAATCAATGAAGCGGTCTTAGTGATAACATGTAGATGATATTCGCATGGTATATAAATGTCACTGGAAGTAAAGATGAAGAAATATATACCTAAGAAACGAGTGTATAAATATTCTCAAACTTTATAAGAGGAGTGGCTTTTGTCTGCTTCGAAGAATGATTGAGATTAGTCATATAATGAGCATATTATTCACTAGTGAATATTTTCATTGACCATTCATATCATCTTTTAGTTCTGCCACAACTTCAATAGGTAGGCATATGATTGATTAGCGTTCAAATATACACTTTCATTATTTTAGTACAGTAAATCTCCTGTTGCATTTAAATTGCTATTTTTAAATTTTAATTTTTACCACCTTAGCACCATAATTTTCGTAGTTTCCTGGGGATCACATGTCTGATTCAAATTAGTACTTCAGATACAGACTACGTGATTGATGCTTTGGCTCTACGCGATCATTTGTCAATACTGAATGAAGTGTTTACCGATCCGAAAATAGTCAAGGTAAGACAACTTCATTCTGATGTATTCAATTTCCTGAAGAGGGATTTTTATTTTACTTGGTTTTGTATGAACCTACCTGCAAAAATTAAATTGTAATCTATAGCTGAAAAAAACAGAAATTTGCCCCGAATGACTATATTGTACCGGCTTTTTCATCATTTTTTGTCATTTTTACTCATTTGCGTCCCCAGTGAGACTTCAAGTGCGCCTTCAAGCTTGAGCTTTCAAGTTTCAGTAGCAGTGGTGTTGTTTACTTTCTACGGAGTGGGGTTGCTAGCCTCACATACCACCTTCCCTCTGTATCGGTTTTATTCTCGACTAAGCAAGGTCTAGGAGTGCGTTGGTCTGGAATCAAACTGTGCCCTGTGACACGGCAGCAGGAAGCGCGGTCGTTGTTAATCCGGGCCCCGACCGATCCGGCATGATATTTGGTGGATTTGTTTGAATCATAGTGTTGGATTGGGTAGCTGCTTTTTGTCTAACCGCTTTCCAAACAACCTTTCTGGCATGGTAGGACTTACAGGAACATAAGTTCCAGCCAGTGTAGCTCGTTGGGTCATTGTGATATGCCACCTCGACCACCACGTCAAGTTAGCAGCTATCGGCCGGGATTCACTATGTCATTGTTTCAGAATGGGGTAGTTTCGGGAAAAGAATTTGATTGATGTAGTTCATGAAATTGAGATATCCCTGAGCATTTCCGCCGACTTTTATTCATCCGAAATATTTGGTCTCTTTTGACATGTCTAACTCTTCGATGGCTAACATGATGAGGGGCACTGGGTTCGAGTTTCAGTAGGAATCGTATCACCCATTGGGAGAGCAAACAGATCCGGCTGATGATTCATAAATGTAAAGAATTGTATATCGTGTACCCCATTGCTATCCAAAAACAATTAAATAACATTTGATCAATGACTTTAACTGATTTTGCCCATATATTTGTTGGAGTGTTGGGCCTTCCTTTGCTTCATCGGTCAATATTCGTGAAACTATTAAAAATTGAGAAACGCTGCTTAGCCGCTTCGTTATGTATAACATCCACGAAGCGTTGAACCCAACAGCATTGCGAGTACACCAGCATCTCAACTCCTGTTAAGACCAGAACCCAAGTATGTCGATCTAAACGCAGGAAACCAATCGATGCGTTTTTATGGTAGCAAAAAGACAGTTATTTGAGATAAAATCTTTAGTGCTAAACAATGCTGTTAGGCAGCTAGCTAGCTAGCTATACAGTCCAAGAATTCCGTATAATGCAAAGTCATACTGAGAATCAAATAGAATATTCCCAACAAGATGGGATCAAAACTCTGTCGTCTGGAGTCAAACACCTTCCCCACTGACGGTCCAAGATTGAACAGTCCCATGAATTCATTGAAGCAAAATCTCAATCCTGAAAAAAACACGTTATCCTCGACAGCCCACCATCATCTAGTAGTGTAAAGTCAAACGCTAAGAATAGGAAGGAATCAACCACAAACGAAGGCCAGTAATAATAAAGATTAAATCAAAAGAACAACTATACACTTTGGGATGATGATATACAGATCAAGGGGAGAAGGGGTGATCACTACGCTAAAATATTCAAATCAGCAACAATTCCAACCAATTATTCCAGTACAACCATTGTATGGTTGCACTTAACTATTCTCAATTAATGATATGTCGTTTATTGTTCAGACTTATCCAGTGTCTGTCTTATATTATTTTCTTTGTTCTTAGGGTTGAATCTTTATTCATTTTAAAGAAGCATCGTAGCGCACCCTCTTAAACTAATTTATTTCACCTAATTTTCATGTCTTCATGTTCTTCATGACTTGTCCTATCTCTCTATCTCACACTCCCACTTTTGGCATAATTGATTTATCACCATTGTCTCGTTTATAAATTCGTATCACATGCATGAAGTGTATGTGTGTGAATGACCCCTGAGTGGTTAATTTCCAATCCTTAAATTTATCCGGTCAAATGGTGATTTCTGACTTGTATTCCTTTTACAATGAGGTAGTGTGTTATGCACTCTTCTGCATGTCTGAAGGTCATACACTTTTACCCTAATCAAAAGAATTATTACAGACAGACTTCAAAAATATTTAGACTATGAGTGGGGGACATCACTCGTACCAAGTTCCCATGAAACTTCATGAACTCTCTTACAGATCGCCGCGCCTGGGCAGCGATGGTTCGAGATGTTCATGAAGCCGGCTCATCCTCCCGTAGGAGATAGCCGAAGTAAAGTAAAGTAAAGTATGAGTGGGTGTGTTGTTTGCGCAGGGATTTGGATTTCGTCACGAATCAATATTAGATAAAGATAATTGAAAACTAGGGTGGACAGTTGTTTCGTCTCTGGTTTCATCCCTGGTTGGAGTCCTGGGTCTGTTTGTCTGTCTGATTGACTGGCTTCAACGTAGAACTTAGCACGGAATTGCACCACTTCAAGTTACCACACTCCATGGACCACACAAAGGAAGGCAAAACAGAGGAAAAAGGACCCAAAAGGACGATAATAAGCAGAAATTTGAGCGAGAAAGAATACTAGTATGGAGAAACATTAGGGTATAATGGATGCGGGAAATCATTAGGAATGAATGAATGCATCTGAACCATTGAGAACGACTGCGATCCATTTCACCAGTAGTCTCTTAACATTGATTTTTATCATCCCGAAGACCCCAAACAGGCTAGTTTACACCTTACTACATGGCTGAAACCAACTGTCAAAGAGACTTCATGGGCTGATGATATGGCTTCTTCAGCAGAAGAAGCTGTGGCTTACACAGCGAAACGTTCAGAAAAATCTTGTTTTGTTTTGATTTTCTTAACACGCTGGGATTAATTTAAATAATTTATAATGAATCAATCTGACTCGGCGCTCAAATAATTCCAGGAAGTTCGTAACACTTACGGCCTGGAAACCTATAATCCAATGTCAGTTCGAAGAAGTGCGACCAGTGGAAAGCTGGTAAATAGGAGGCATAATGTCGCTACCAAAGAAGTGACAAATCTTCTTTGTCTGGTAGCTCAGTTGGTAGAGTGCTAGGTGAGTATTTCGCAGGCCACTGATTCCAGTTACTTCACAATCCATATTGTCAGCTCATCTTCAGTCATCACGTACGTGACATCAATAGAGTAGTCTGACAATCGAAATGATATCCCAGATAGTCTGACTAGCAACTATATCGTGTATTGTGTAACTTTACATTGTTTGTTACAACTAATGAGAGTTGTTGAAATGCGTTTATTTTATTTTGTCCTCTGTCCACTTTTATGACTGTGAGACAAAGCTATTGAAAGTAGAAAGTATGAAAAGGTTAGCTGTCTTTAACCGTAGGTGTTTGCCTTCTCTCTCTTGTATGAAGTGATATAGTGCGGTTAGTAATATTGCGATTAAGCGTAGTGGCAAGTAAGAAGAGTAACTTAATCGATAAGGTTGTGAAGCTACGCTGATTAGGATGGTCAGGACATGCATTACGCATGCTAAGCTATCGCCTTCTCCGTCAAACAATGTTAACCGATAATAGATAAGTAATTTAGAAAAACGCTCGGCGATTGCACTGCATGCGTTAACACACAACCACACAGTAGGTTGGGAGAGGGTTGAAATTCAAAGAAGTAATATAGCTAGGTGGAGAGAGAGGTTGATTATTGAATCCTTGTTCATCGAGTCTACACCCAACACATGCAACAGAAATGACTTATCACCCATACCTGAAATATGGAAAATACCACTACCAATCAAATCAAGCGATGGAAAATAATGGAATTATATAAACGAAGTTAGAAGGTTGTGTGAGTGAGTACCTTGATATGATTATGAGCAGCAATGTACTGTTCACGAAACGTTATGACTAAATATTACTTTATAAGACTGTGTGATCTTATCAAAATAAATCTTACCCACAATGGCACTGATCTCTCGTATCCACCGAACCCTTATTTTTTCACGTTACTGTTCTTTCTTCCCTGCATTTCCGCTTCTTATAGTTGTTTTTTTTAAATTTTTTTTCTTCCACATGGCGTGTGACAACTTGAACTTCTGCACTTCTGTGAAAACTTCCGTGTTAAAACTCAGTTGTTTATTTTATTGCATAACCCTTCCCTTTGAAATTAAATTTGCCGCAGTAAGAAGACGAAAACTTCGTTATGATATAAGTTAGCTGACGGTCATTTGGTTAACCACCTAGACAAATTAGTCAACACCAATCCATCTGATACTCAAATGCTAGATTCGAATGATTTCAAAAGTTGGATTAGGGTTGATAGAAAAATTTTTCCGACCACCACTATTGTACTATACATTATTAAATACCTAAAGTTTTGTCAGTTTTGTCAATTTCACATGAATCTTACTTCCATTAGCAATCATAACTGTCGTGCTATGTGCATATTTCTGATTAGACGACGACGACGACGTTAAATGCCTATCGTTCTTAAGGCTACAGAAACAACTTACTGAAGAGGATTCTGACAGAAATGAGATACCAATAAACCACCGACACATTCTAATAAATACTTAATTGACCTTCATTGATCCCATCCAGAATCGGTAAATGTAGGTTTAGTTAATCAGGCAAGAAACCTGCCTAACTAGTAAGTAAGTCAGTGGAAATAAAATCAAACAAATCAGAATTTATTCAGAAATATACGGAGACCCAATGGAAAAATAAAAGTAGCAATGAAAATGACAAAAATGACACAAATAATATTATGAAATCTAAAGCCTCTGTTGGTATTATCGTATAAAGAAGAGACATCAGAGGCCTTACTGGAATTAGTCGGGGTGGGATTTAAACCAACCGACAAATTCTCTCAGCTTAAGGACACAACAGATCCAATTAAGAAAAATAATATAATTCAAGGAATGTCATATAGTGACTGTGAGGTCGGTTGCATAAATCAAACTAGTAGATTGCAGTCAATTAGATTATCGGAATATAGAAATTTACCTTGAGCTGGAATGATTGACTCTGCTAAGTGTTGAATAATCTAGAAAACGGCTGGGCCATTGCATCACATCTCATTCACTTGCTTGTAATCACACAACAGGATGGGACAAGGTGAAAGTTTTAAAAACTAATATAGTTAGGTGAAGATAACGGCTAATCATGGAATCTGTATTCTTTAACACCAAACGAGTGCAGTCGAAATGACCCACCCAACATCAATATGAAAAATTGCAACAGAAAATGTCAGGGAATTAGACTATATATGTCAAAGCAAGTTATCAAGTGGTATGAATACATTAAGATATGGTATAAGCGGTAAAAAATTGTTCTCAAAATATCATCCACTTATTCATACTGTATCGCTAAATTTTATTATTAGATGAACTTTATCTAATATGGGAATTTTGTTATTTTGTTGTTCTCATTGTTCTCCTCCTCCCTCACCCTCTGAGGCTACAGGTCTTTCATGGATCCGATTCAGATTTGATGTGGTTACAACGAGATTTCGGTGTATATGTGGTCAATTTATTCGATACAGGCATAGCTTCACATCTGCTGCAATATTGTCGTTTCTCGCTGAGTTATCTGTTGCATCGATTTGTTGGTGTAAATCCGAATAAGAAATATCAATTGGCTGACTGGCGTATGAGGTGGGAATTATTATCACTGTTATTGTCTTTCTGACTATTCAGTTGGTTTTTCCTGCCTGCTTGCAAATATTGCATTTTATATTTGTAGATTTTGGGTAACGCGTTGTCTTGTGCAACTGTAAAACAGTCGAGGAGATATTAGCTCGATTTAGAAGGATAATAATAGTATTACTCCAAACAGTACTTTTGGTACAAATATGGAATTTTCAGCATGTAATAATACAATATTACATCCAATTTCCTGATTACAGGGGTAATAATTAAAATAGGGTATTCACATTAATAATAATCTTCACTAAGAAATGAGAATATAAAATTAAATCAAGTGAAAACGGTAACGACAATGTAACAATGAGAACAAAAAACAATGCCGTTTACTTAGAGTTCCTCAGTAAGTTCGTAATTTCCTACCCATATACACTTTCCTCATCATATAAAATGTGTCCCGGCTAAATAAGGTATTGTAGAGCGTTTGTACTTAGTCGTCCGAGCATACGGTCTTCTGTAGTTGCTTCTAGTTCTACCTGATTAGATGGAAGAAGAGAGTTGTGTATGGAGAGAATGTTGAGAGTCTGACAGGATAATATTTGCTAATTCAAGTGTCTGTCTACAATAGTATTAACGAGTTGGTTTAGCGACACTCCACTCCACTTGGCCTACTGAGAGCTTTTAGTGCCCTACGCAATATAATAAAGTCTTTCTTTCTTAAGTAGCCTGGGGAAGACTAAGCCGAAACAGAAAAGTGTAGGCAGAATGCAAGAAATAACAAACGGTAGCAGTAGAGACGGAATGGTACTAGATCATCTTAATTTCTTTACATAGAACGTCAAAAGAAATATCTTTCTGCAAACTAACATTTTGTGGGAAGACCAGGAAACATCAGCAGAAATACACAGTCCAAGGTATTTAGATAGACCTAGGCTGAACTTGAAGGAGCACTCTTCTTGTAATGTCATAACACCCCATCACTGTGTATTATTTGAAATTTAAGCTGTAGGTCTTAGTTTCACTGCAGTCGTTTGGGGGGGGGGGTCACTCTTGGCTGTCACTTTGATGAGTGATAAGCAACAAACAGTCCGTTCATAAATACACAACATTGGTCGCTTGGTCAGATCTTCTTTACCCTCGTTTGAGGAGTACATGATCAATTGTTTACAAGATCATGTTTTCCCACCAAATGCGATATCTATTATGATTTTTCTACGTCGAAATGTAGGCAGTTTTTGACATATTCCGTGTTACTTATGTTTATTTCACGGGAAATACCCATTCAAACCTAATTATAAGGACAAAGAGTTCAGCGAAGAGTCTCTTTATGGCGAATTTATTCACTTAGCAGTACAATCACAATTATGTACATATTTATGCTTTGCGTGTGTGTACATTAGGCTTGTCAGACAAGAATAGAACTTAGCTAGGTTTATTGCTTGTGTCATCTAAATATTTCGAAACTGTGATGGATATTCAAATTGTAACCATGGTGTTTGTGAAGATTGGTAAGTATTGACAATGGGTGCGCAATATGAAAGACACTCAGAAAAATAGAATGTTAATGAAGGAACATGAAGACAAGTGTTCAAAATAAATTATGTAATAGGTAGAGAGAGAGAGAGTAAATAAAGGGTTGATTAAGAAGATGTTACTACAAAATCATACAAAAATTTGAAAAAAACATTATTAACAAAGTAGTAGAACTTGGAATTATACCTAAGGTGGAAAAAGGAGGGTGGAGAAGTTTCTTCTGTGTTCATAAATCGCGGTTTTCTATCCGGATCGCTAGGGCCTCAGCAATGCAAAGAATGCGAGCCGTTTTCGGGAGTCTTCTTTTTACTTCATAGATGACTTTGAATAAATTCTCCTTACATTTTGAGTGACCAGTGTTGAATATATGTTCACTTCTAGCACTCCTTATTGATCCACTGTTACCCTTTCGTAGCCAAGCGGGAATGTGTTTTTTGACTCTTTTAGAATAAATGAGATAAACAATGACCCTAACTAATTTTTATTTCATTGGTTGGAGGACTTCATCATGAGCTGACATCAGTTAAAGAACCATTGGAAAACCAGCTGGGAATACTGGACTGCTGTTTCGTCCTAGCTTGAAACTTTTCATCAGTACTCACCCATCGCCAGAGGTTCGAACCCAGGACCTTCTGGTTACAAGATGAGCTTGTAGGCCATTCAACCACTGGGACTCGATCCTCCAACTAGTCAAACAAAATCCGTACAAACCAATATCTGATAATTTTTATTTGTTTGACAAGCGTAATGTACACACTCACAAAATAATTATATATAAATGTGGTTGTACAGCTAAGTGAATGGACTCGCCGAAAAGAGACTCTTCGGTGAACTTTTTGTACTTCTGGATATTTTTGTTAAAATCCTTTATTTTTGAAAGGGACAACGTTTTAGGAGGTGATTCACACCTTTCCAGTCACACAATGATATCATCTACTTAACATAATGGTCACATTGCAAACTTGACTGATAGAATTCAGTCTGCACCAAACAAATAGGACTAGATGCATGGCCTTAATTACCTACTACAGTCCTACAGGAGGTCAATCACGAGCCCGAATAGATTAGTAGTAACGTCCCTGATTGCAGCACTGGGTGACATGGGTTCGAATCTCAAAAGGGACATGATTTCCTTCAAGGTAGCAGATACACCTTGTTGTGACTGGTGGTGACTTAAAACAAGAACAAAACTTAAGTCGAGGGCCTCCTGCCGACTTCCTTCAACCATCTAATAATATCTCCGAAGTCTTAAATAAAGTAAGAAGAACATGTTGTACTGGATAAAACGACGTCATATTTCTTTGGTTCTTTTCAGCTGCTTAAAACCATGAACAATTTTGATATCAACTTACATAATATTCAAATACTGTATTAGTTATTGATCATAAAGGCGAAGGGAATTAATATCACGCGATTAAGTAGCATATTGGGAAGGAATAAAAGTCATTGTTAAGCGCTTGTTACTATGCATAGATATAATTAAGAAATATTCTAGAATTACGATCGAATGTTACAAATTGAGTAGAGGTGTAAAATCATCACCAATAGCTTAGCATTAATATATATTTATTAAAGAATACATGAACACTTAACCAATCAAATGGTGATAGTAAAGACAGAGGGGCTATCTGAGATAATCGTGGAGTGGTGTAATGGAGGATGATTTAATGTGATGTAAAAATCATGGTGAAATCCTGAAACCAATGAAATCCCTGCAGACCAACACTTGAATATCAATCTGATGCTCACTGGTGACTAGCCGTATTCAGGTAATTAGTTACCTGGGTTCTAGTTGTAAGTCGTGACCAGTGGGGAACAGCAGGTTGGGTGTGAGGACATATACTCGCCGATGACACTCGCTGGTGGTCACGCCATATTGTGAGTTGGCAGAAGTTGGAATTCACGGGCCATTGGATCGAGTTCCAGTGGTTGGATTGTCTACGAGCTAGCTCGCCTTGTTACCATAAGGTCGTGGCTTCAAACCCCAGTGGGTGTGTACTGATGAAGAATTCCGAGCTGGGACGAAACCGCAGTCCATTACTTTCAGACTTTCGAATGGTCCTCTAAACGATGCCAGTTCATGATGAAATCCTGAACAAATCTGAGTCCCAGAAGTATTTGAAGGCTGGTAGTTTGAATCATGCCACGGTCTAGTTTTGCGTTTCACCTCCAACCATCACTCACTGAATGGTGACTTTTGTGTGTTAAAAAGAAATTCTGAGCTTCAGAGTATGTATGGAATAGAAAGTAACTGAAGAAATCAAGATAGCAGTTATTTTTATGATGTAGGTTTGCTTTGTAGACGGTCGCTGAGTATATATTTGAAAAGAAGTCACTGTTGGATTGGTGTGTTTGGGAACATATACTTGAGCTTGTTGAGTCCTCCTAGCTGGACAGCTTCGTTTTGCACTATCGTATCAACTGCGAAAAACACTACATTGGCCAAAGTGGACGTCCCCTTCGTCTTCGTATCCACGAACATAAGCTAGCTGTCAAAAGACATGATATCCACTCCCTCATATCACTACATACAGACAACCACGGACATCCATTCGATTGGGATAACGTTCAAATATTAGACAGCAAGAATGCTACAGAATTTTTAGAAGCCTGTCTGGTATTCCAGTGAATCATCATCGAGATAGACAAAATTTACCAACCGATAAGAAAGAAAGCTCACACACAAAGGGTCAAAGTTCAAGTCAAAGAAACAATGAGTGACAATACAAGTAACCTAGAAGGTGAGAAAACACACAAAAACAACCAATCACGTCCAAGGTCACCGACCAGGAGAGATGATTGATAAACTCACTCGTGGAGAAATCTGAAAGCTCACTTCAAATTGAAGTATGCGCTGAAGATGTCACTTAGTAGGGTGATGAAAGCTTCGCAAATTAACTGTCCAGCTCAGAGAACACAACCACATCAAAATCATTCACCTGAGCTACAAATCTCCTCTATCATATCTGCACTAAGCTTAACAAGTGGTGGTGGCGTATCTAGTTTTAATCGTGTTCCATCTACAAAATTCAGTAGTCAGCAACATGGAAGGATCAGGTTTTTTACTAGTTGTCCAAGCACGTGAAGCTTATGCAATTGTTATTCTAAATATCGTGGAGGATTCGATCTCCTTCAAGATTGAGTTCTTCCATGAGTCGATCTCAGTTAAACAGACAACCATTAAAAACCAGCTGACGCTGATCAGCTTTTTTATCGTAGTTCGGAACTTCCCAGTAGTAGTGCATTCTACTGCTAGTCGGTAACTTTCGTCGGTTATAAATACCTCGTATTCTCCATGAGATGTCCGCGATGTTGAGTGTAAGGAGAGCTACTCACAGGCGATACGGTATGACACTGATACTTGACAAACTGAAGAAAACTCAGAATGCATAGTCGACTATATCCCGGTTGAGTAGTTGAATGACAAAGCGCTGGCCTCGCACTGCGTATTTTCTCTTTTCAGCAGTATCTGAATCACCTGCCAGATATGTTCGCGTTTCACCTTCAATCATCACCTCTGACTATGAAAATATCGATCGGTTTGTGAGCTAAGACTAATTCAAAATTACTAATGAGGATATTATTATTATTATTAGTAGTAGTAGTAGCAGTAGTTCTAGCAATCTGCTGCAAAAAGATCTAGTTCATGCAATGTTTCATTAATTTCTATACGTATTATTAGTTTTGAACGTGTAAGAGAAGCTAGTCTCTCGATTTCATAAGGATATAGAAAAAGGTTGGGTGGAAAATTCTCTCTATCTTTCTCCTGCTCTGTTCAATATTCTTCGTGTATGTAAACCAAACTGGTGTGTACAGTAGAACATGGCCTAATTAAAAATTATTATTTCTCTATATTATTATTCCAGAGCCTGTTGTCATTCGAAAGAAATGATGATGAATGTATAAAATAGGATGGTGATGAGAAGGAGGATTAGGAAATTCGCCATAATAACCGTCATCAAATTCATAAATATATGAAAGCTAAGCATTTCGAAATCACAGTGTAGTGCTACTGCTGTGACAATTTACAGAACTATAAAATTGTAGTCCGGAAAGGCATCAGGCCAAGACGGAATTCCCCCCTCTAATTACTGAAAACGGACCCAGAGACTGTGGCAGATATGCTCACGCCATTATTACAAACGTTTTGGATGGAAGGAAAGGTACCTACCGATTGGAAGAAAGGCTGGCTACCTTGTCAAGCTGCCGAAGAGGGTTGGCTTGCGACTCACTCTGAAGAAAGTGACGTGGAATCATGCTGTTGTTCACGCCAAGGAAAATACTAAGTCGCATCATCCTGGAGAGAATAAAGGATGCACTGGATACAGAAGTCCTCCAGCGCCACAGAACAAGCTGGATTCAGGAAAGTCAAATCATGTGCTGATTAAATTGCAGCTCTGTGCACCATTACCGTCACAGAACAAAGCATAGAATGGCAGTCACACCACTACCCCAACTACATCCACTTCGAAAAGGCCTTCGACAGCTCAGCGTTGACTGAGAAGAAATTTGGAGACTACTTCAATACTACGGCATGCAGTGCCCCAAATCTTTATCAACCTCATTCAACAGCTGGTTGGCTATGTGACAATGCCACGCGTCAGGTGATCCACAACGGAAAACTCAGCGAGGCAATCGAAGTGAATACAGGAGTAAGACAAGGCTGGCTGCTTCTTATCACCAATGATATTCTTAATTGTGGTGAACTGGATCATGCATCAGCCTGTGCGTGGGGAGCGAGGAGACAAGAATACGCTGGAACACCAAAAAGAAGACTCTAGAAGATCTGGTTTTCGCGTGTGGATGATTTATGTTTAATGTCACACAAACTGGGAGATTTGCGGGCTGGCGAAAACCAAAAAACTGACTGAAGAGGCTGGCAGACAGCGAAAACAGGATTCCAGTTGAACATAGAGAAGACGGAAGTGATGAAGATAACCAATCACCATCAACGGGAGAGATTTAACAGAGGTTACCTCCTTCACTTATCTAGGAAGCATCGCTTCAACTACAGGTGGATGCCACGGATGAAGGTGTCAAAGCCAACCAGTCAGAATTGGAAAGGCAAGATACTCATTCATCAACCTGAAACCAGTTTGAAAATCTTCCGCACTCACTCAGCCAACATAAACAACAAGATTCGGATTCTGTTCAGCAGAAATGTAAAGTCAGTCAGTCAGTCACTTCTTATATACGGGTCAGAAAGTTCAACTGCGTGTCACGCAAAGGATTTCCAACAGGCTACTGCAGACATTTATCATCAGCTGCCTTCGCTTACTCCATACTGAAGATCAAATCGCCAGAAGGAATTGGTAACAAGAAAGTCTGGCGATAAACAAGTCAAAAGTCTATTGCGCAACAAATATGTAGGAGAAAATGGAGATGAAGGCCGTGAAATAACATCGCTTCTAATGCTGGCCATTGCTCGAGTGGAATCCTAGTGGAAAGCGACACGTAGGTCACCGGTGCGGAGGTGACATGTAGGAGACTGTGTGAGGAGATGAAAGATTATGGTCAATCGTGGGTCCAACTAAAGGGGACAGCTGTAAATAGAACAAATTGGGAGATGTGTTGTTGAAACCCTATGTTCCACTTGGAACCCAAGGGAATAATAACAATAAGACAGTAGAGACTTAGATTGGACACTGGGTAGTAGCAGTAACTAGTGTCATGCATCTAGTCCTTTACTGCAGACTGAATTCTATCAGTCCAGTTCGCAGTGCGACAACCATGCTAAGTGGTTGGGCATCACAGTAGACTCTGAAGTGTTATTACTAGACAGACAATGGGAGGCAATCGATAGGGAGCCTTCAACACAGGTTTTGCGCTTGCTGGGGTTCTAGTGAGAAGCCATAACCAGTAGGGTGCAACAGGTTGAAAGTGAGGCAGTAACTCATCGAAGAAGACATTGCGAAGTGGTCGCACTATGTCATGAATTGGCAGAAGTTAGAATTCATGGACCGACCATTGGATCGGGTCTCAGTGACTTAATGGTCTACGAGCTTGCTAGCCTTGTAACTGGGAGGTCCTGGGTTCGGGCCCTGGCGGTGGGTGCGTACTGATAACGGGTCCCAAACTAGACTGACGAAACAGCTGTCCAGTACTTCCAGCTGGTTTTCCAGTGGTTCTCTAGCTGATATCACCTCATGATGAATTCCTCCAACCAATCAAATTTGATTACAACATTTAGTCACTTTTGCTACTATCCTTGTTTATAAAGAAAATAATTGTGTATAAATGCGATTGTACAGCTAAAGAAAATGAATCCGCTGAAGAGAGCTTCTTCACTGAACTACTTGTCTTGTTTGTCTTTTCACTAATGCGTGGATGAAGATTATTCGTGAGTAGAAGATGATCAATGAATGATCACATTCATTTTAATCGATTATTGAAACTAATATTCAATGGGTCAATTTTTAAAACTTTTCCGTAATTAGAACTTTTCCCAGCTAGAGTGATGATGGGCAAACGTTGTAACGTCATTCTAGACACCATAATTAATAATTCCTATTGATTGAATCGCCGATCATGATCAAGTTTAATCAACTGAAACTTCAGTTCTGAAGACAACTTACTTGAGACATTCAATAATAATAATAATAATAAACCTTCATTTCAGACAATATGTGTGAACACAGTACAGAATTTTTCAGCCTATGTAGTTCCAAAATATTTCCTCTTCAAACAGAATTTACATGTAAAGTAATAATAATCTGAAGTACATCACAACATCATTTGTCGTAGTGTTGTTGGCCATATGAAGAGAGAGAACCAATTCTGTCGACACTTTTTCTTCAATTCTTTCGGAAAATGCATAGCGTATAGTGGGAAACTAATTAAATATTGGGCATTTGATATAATTGCACAATTGAAACAATGAAGAAATGTAGAAGAGTTTAAGCAGGATTTTGATCGATTGATGAAATTCTGGTAGCCCAGTGATATTTAAGCAGGCCACGTGGTAAGACCTTGGAGTAATAAGTATTCATCACATTCAAATATTTCACATTACTCTTCTATGCCTTATTTATTACAATCTTATCTGTTTTATTGTTTTATTTCTCTTCAACAATAATAATTGTTATAGACCATTACCAGATGAATTGATTGAATATGCACGAACAGATACGCATTATCTTTTGCATATTGCTAGTCGAATGTGTCAAGAGTTACAGGATAGAAATTTACTGTCAATTGCTCATGAATGCGGTCGACAATTATGCCTTAAAGTAAGTTATTGTTGTTGTTTTTGTTGTTGCTGTTGTTGTTTTGTTTGGTAACAGTTAGAAGAATCTAGAAGGCTGGTTTCGTCCTATTTGAGACTGGTCACCTATATGTATACTTGTCTTCCAGTGAGAGTGATGGTAGAATACACCATTGAGAGACGTAAACCTAGTAATTTCTATCGCTTCAAATGCCTAAAAAAGCCTCATCCACTAGGGCAATTGGTCATGAAAGCCGCTTGTTATGCTGCTGGGGTGTGATTTAATTATTTCTGATTCATGTTTGTGGTTTTTCCTTTGATATATGGACTCTTTGTGTAACGACAGAAGACAAGAATATTTAGAACATTATATTTAAACGAACAATATTGACGTTTCAATTAGATCTCATCAGGCTTGACTCTAATATATGTAACTTTACAAATAAAAATTCAAATATAAACTAATCACGGTGTTTTGTCAATAGGATAATACGATGGTGCAAATAAACTGTGCAATTAGTCATAATAATAGTAATGATGATAATAATGGTTCTACCAGTAATAAGGATGAAAAAGTGAGGCGATCTGTAATAACACGAATAACGAAAAACAGCATGATTAAACAAACAAATGTTCAGGTAGACGTAGCAGTCGATAAAGGCTAGAAAAAACAAATAAATGAACCGATTAAGTAATGCTAGATTGTAAGGGAAGTAAATAAAATGCGCTTTTAATGAAGATGTGATAAGATTAAGGGATGATAAGAAGGGGGTTGAAAATATAAGTAAAAGAGGCGGTGGAGAAGTCATCAGTTAGTTAGGTCTTAATAGGCCAAGGGAGAGATAATGGCTGTACGAACTTCTTCTTAATGCATAGTTTAGGCTTAATAGTTATTCGAATGCCTATCGCCTCAGCTGTGTGCAGTAAACGAGTACGAAGTCTATTAGAAAAATTCGGTGGGATGCTGTGAAATACCTTGAGCTAGTGGTGGTCAATCCAAAGAATGCCTTCATCAGTCAGTGAAATCCATAACAGTTAGTTTGAACCACCTAGGTGGCTGTAGGCTTCCTGGTTGGGGTCCTCTGGTTGGTAAAAGCCAATGGCTGGAGACAATTGTTGGTGATATGGCTCAAAATCGTTCGCAATGGCTGGTGCAGATGCATTCACTCTTTGTGATTTATGATATCCAATGAGACTCTATTGTTCTTCCATGTTACCATTCTTTTTACCTCACACTTCTGTTTGAATCTCTCTTTACCTGCTTCTCTTGCTTTGTGCGCTACTAGGAGTGTAACAACTCGAACTGGCGCACATCTGTGCAAAGTTCTACATTGAAACCAGTCAGTAGTCAAACATATCTTTGATTTGGGTGTCTAAACTTTCCAATTCTTTTCGTTTCCAATTAGTGTCGTAATCTTTATACTGATGCTGAATATTTTCTAATTATTTTGTATACATATATCACTACTTCTTTTTGTCTAGCGTTATACAAAGCCTGTATTCAGTCGTCGTGGCTATCTGGATTTGTATCGACAAGCTGGTGAGAATAGTTTCAGTCATCGTCAGTTATATGCTCTGGAGAACCTTTATGCACTACGCGATACTATAGCTAGACGTGAAGATGAAAGTATTCAGTAGGTGTTTATAAATTTTACGTTTTCTATCAGTATATATATGTGCATAGCGCAACCAGGCACTCTGCATATTCTATCATCGCTGGCTCTGTAGAATTACTTGCGTCCCATGGCATCATCGTGGGAGTAATTCTGAGGTCCTGAGGCGTGTGTTTTGGCATCGCAAAGGTCACCATTCATTAAACGTCATCATCTGGAAACACCGGCTTCGGTGGTTTGGGCATATGATACGAATGTCATCCAGTACCGGTCTTTCTGTTCGCTAGAGGTAAGTGGTCAGCCTATGCTGTGGTGTCGTTGGACCAAGGATATTTGTGTAAGGCTAGCCCTAGTTGATACATCACGACTCTCTGGTTGGTGTCCGAAATAGTTTGAATCGGTGGCTCGAAATGTCATCAGGTATGTCTAAGAATTACTTCTGTCTCTGTAAGTACTGTTAAGTATTGAATGTTGAATGGCGCTGACACAAATATGCTTGCTTGCTTTCTGGACGACGTCCTTCATTCATTCTCTGCTTATTTTCTTTATGTATAGTTTTTACGAGTTGATCACGGAGTGAAATCAGTTAGAGAACCTTTGAAAACCAGGGAGTACTGGACAGCTGCTGTTTCATCCTAGTTTGAGAATCATCGGCAGTATGCACCGCACCCACCGCCAGGGTTCGAACCCAGGACCTCCTGGTTACAAGACATGCTCGTATACCATTCCCAAACTAGAATAAAACAGCTGTCCAGTACTCCAGTGCTGGTTTTCAATGGTTCTCTGACTGATATCAATCCGTGATCAACTCGTAAAAACAAAACTAGCCCATACAAACCAAACTATAGAAAATTATATATAGTTGTTTTGTTATTGTTATGTGGCGTATCTCTTGATGCCTATTCTGTTCCAAGTTTGTGTTTTAAATGATTAATTTAAATAAAGACAATAGTCTTCTTGATCTAGAATAATGTAGTAGGTAATATAGTCTTGTCAGGCGAAGACATTGACAAAATACAGTGTCTTCTGAACACCTGCGGTAGAAATCTAAGTATGTTTTGACATGTGATTCGCCCTTGTAAAATGTAAGATGACTTTGCAGAACAACTAGTATTTCACCGACATCTAGTTTAAAGATACGGATCCAGCCATATCAAAAACACACTTTGATGTGACAGAATTTGTGGTGCCATCGAACAACAATGCTGCCGTTCAGTCCAAAAGTTTCTGGGGGTACAAAGTACGTACTAGAAAATCAAATTAACTGACCACAGTCAGTCTTAAGGAAGCCCGCGAATCAATCGGAACTTTCCAAACAGGTGAAGATCGAAACTTTGTCTGCAAAATTCAGTTAGAATGAAGCATGTTTCCTCCAGATAGACAGTTCAAGGTCAAGTAATCATTTCGTGGTGTAACCTTGACTCTTCAGTCGAACAAAATCACAGTCTTAAAAACAACACGTTATTTATGAACACTATCAAATACTGGTAAAGAGAAGTATTACAAATAGGAAGCAAATACAAAAACAAAGACGATTAATTGGGATTAAGTGAAAGTGAGATATGCAAATGTTGAACAATTTTATACACAAAGAAGGGTAATCGAAATATTCAAATATAAGTATCAGTATTGTAAATGGACTGTTGTTCATGAAGGGATTTTCAAATTAGTTGTTCTGTTGTATACAGAGGCTATACTACTGTGTAATTTACTCATTACTTTTTAAGACAGCTAAAATTTTGTCTCATAGTTGTGTAAGTTGGATATCACTGTCATTAACCGGTAGTGTACTCTAGGCAGCAGATTGACAGCGGCCTACTTAAACCACCACTGGGCTACTTCAGTTTCCATCCAACGTAATGCATCGTATTTTCTCTAATTCCTGTTGTTTTCTAATCATTCAGGTATGTCTTTGAGTCACGAAATGTGCTCATGCATATTTTTCATTACGTCGGTGGCACAGCGGTAGAATGCTCGCCAACTACGCCTCATGTAGTGTGGGGTTCGATCCCCGGCCGACGCACTCCTTTACCTCGCTAAGCCAGTAATAAGACTGGTAAAGAGGGACGGTTGGGAATGAAGTGGCTAGCAACCCGATCCTGTAAAAATAAAACACCACTGCTACCGAAACTTCAAGCGTCCAGCTTGAAGCTCTATGTCCCACCACTGGGAACGGAAAGGAATAAGAAAAAATATATTGGCTTTCGTTGGCTTTCAAACTACCGGTGGGCATTTCTCGAAGATGATGGGAAAATTATTATTATTCCCTTGAATTCCGAGTGGAACAGCACATCTCCATTTAATAATAATAATAATAATAATAGCTTTATTCCAAATAGTATTTTGGTACAAATATCGAAATTTCAGTATGTAGTACACTATTGCATCTAATATTCTTGTTACAGCGATAATATTTAAAACAGAGCATTCACACTGATAATATTGTTCAATAAGAATTATTATTATTATTATTATTGTATCTTTTAATTCCTACAGGAACATAGGGCTTCAATAAGAATATGCATATAAAATTAAATTAAGTGGAAATATTAACAACAATATAATAATGAAGAAAAAGAAGGTCGGTTTGTTAATGTTCCTCAGTAAATAAAAAGTGTCACACATTGCACTTTCCTCATCAAATAAAATATGTGTCAAATAAGGTATTCTTGAATTTTTGTACTTACTCGTCCGAGCGCATAGTCTTTTATAGTTGCTTCTAGTGCTACCTGCTGAGATACAAGAAGAGAGGATGCTCCCGGTCCGACAAGACACTATTCCCTAATTTCTTGCATTATTCCAAATGTCTATCTACAACAGTACTGGCGGGTTGGTTTAGTAACAACTTCACTCACCCTATTGCCAGCTTTTAATGCCCTTCGCAGTGTGTCAAAGTCTTTCATAAGTAGCCCAGGAAAGATTAAGAGGGAGCAATAAAGAAGGATAGGCGGAATACAAGAATTAACAAACTGTTCTCTGCAATCCTCTTCAGTTTGGCCCCATGATTGCCAAGAGACCCTCATCTTTTCCCCACACACGATCTCTTCCATGTCACCCTTGGACTCTATACCCAACTTGTCGTTTCCAATTCAGGTTCCACTTAAGGCTCTGTCTAGTTTGCACAGTGTCACTCAACGATCTCCTCAGCATGTATGTATCTGATCCATGCTCATTTTCTTCTGCTTATTTGTTGAACGGTATGTTTTGGATTGGCTCGTTCCCAGAGTTTCGTGTTGCTAATTCTTTCTAGCCAACCGGTCATCTGATCCTCAGTGCATAGTGTTTAGAATAAAGCTATTATTATTAAAGTGACCTAAATATTCATTCCAATTAATTAGTAGTATATACCATCCCATAGTTTGTTCTAATTGAAAACAATTTATTCAGTGATCGTTGTACAAATCACATATTCTGGGATTTTGTTATTTTATACGTACATACATACATACATACATACATACATATATGCATTGTATTTTCACAGTTATGTATTACCAAATCATATGTTAAAAGTGATAGCTAAAGAATTACCACGTGAATCTTCTGGGATATTTGCTTGTTGTAATCCTATCCCACCGCTGGTGCGTAAATATGTTCATGATTTGCACAAAATTATACTGGATGCAAGAGAGCTGCCTTTAACTGATCTGGTTAGTTATTGTTGACCATTATTTCACATATCTTTTTATTGTTGCATTTCAGTATTGATGAAGCTTTCTTTCGAAAAAGCTGTTGCTTTGTAATTTTTGTTTTGGCTAAACTGTCCAGTCTATCAGTATAGGTAGGTAGTTTTCTACGGGAAGGGGAACCAAGTGACAATAGCCTGATATCTATAATCTCCTCAAGTTTGAATGCTTTTAAAAAAATGACCAAAAAGAGACACGTGCGTTGGTGGTGCAATGGTAGAATACTCGCCAATCACGTTCACGTGGTCCGGGGTTCGATCTCTGATTGCCACACTCGTAAACTTCGCTTAGCTGGTGGCAGTAAGCTCTTTGAAAAAAAGAGGGGGGGGATTGGGCGTGAGACTAACAATCCCATTGGGTGAAAAGGTATACATCATTGCTACTGAAACTTCGAAGCTAAAGCTTGTAGAAGGTCTATGTTCCGCTTGAGATGCGAAAGGAATAAAAAAGAAACAAAAGACATATCTTCCGACCCTAGGATACTTTTACTATCCTTTTAAAATCAATACTATTCGTTATTATTATTATTATCATCATTGTTTCCTCTAGTTCCCAGAGGAACATATGGCTTCAACCGTACGTCTCCATCGCGTTCGGTTCTCTGCCAACGTTTTCACCTGGCTGCATGTCTGCATTCTATTCGTTATTCACCTCTAACTACCATCCGATTGGTGTACCTACCTGTTCTTTATTGAATGATGATTTTTCCTTTGGCACTTGAATCCAACACTTTCGTTGAATGAACACAGTCACATCGATTTTGTGAGAGAAAGTGAAGTGGGAGACTTCGGATTTCAGAACATTTTTGTGTGTGTATATCCCAGTAGACTTGTCCCTGTAGAACAAGACATATCAGTTATAAATGAAGTTCAAGAACACTATTGTGTGTGTGTTGGCTGTAGATGTCTAAATGTTTTATGTTAACTAAAATACCTTGTCTACCTACACTGAACACATAATGTCAACATCTTCCTTCTTCTTAAGAGGTAATTACAACATGGAATGTAATGTGACAAAAGCAATCAGTGTTCACCATTTTCTATGACTAGAACTCCTCTAGTTTGACTATCACCAAAAGTAGAGTTCCCCCCCTTTTTTTTTGCTTTTCAAAGCGATCTCTTGTTTTCTCAAGAATTTCATCTTTAGCTTTTTAAAGCATTTACTCTTCTGTTGCTTGCTTCCATTGTTGTCTACATCTTATATGACGTCGTTAACTCTGTCGCGTGTTAATATACCCCCACTCATCCAATTTTTTTCGCCTAGATACACGACTTGTCTTTCAAAATTTATCATCTTTATTCGTATACTTTTTATATCCTGACTACTACTCTCACTACTACTTCAATAGATTTCGGTATTTTCATGAGTTTGTTTATAGGGATTCGATTCGTTTCAAGTTGATTGATATCAATTAGAGAATTATTGGAAACAGGGGAGTTCTGAACAGCTGTAACGTCCTAGTTTAGGACACATCGTCAGTACGTACTCACTGGATTTCGGACCAGTGGAGTCCACCCGACCGGGAGTGGAAACAAATATTCACCGATGACGTTGGTTGGTGCAAGTTGCGCTAAAATCATGGATTGATCGAGGTTAGAATTCAGGGGTCATTGAGTTTGATCCCATTAGTTGGGATGGTCTACGAGCCTGCCTTCAAACCAGAAGGTTGTAGGTACGGAAGCCGGTGGATGGGTGTTGCTGAGGAGATGTAGATCGGGACGAAACAGCTATCCAGTACTCCCTAGTTATCAATGGTTCTCTAACCTGGTTTAATCCGTTATCAAACTTGTATTTTAGTACTTCCCAAGCTTGTTGTTAATCTCTATCGTTTGTTTACAAGGCATCGTAACAAACATATTATTGCTATTGACCCCGGATTGTAAAAAAATGAACTCATTCAAAAAAGTCCATCCGATTAGATTGCTTGCTTCTTTTTCTCCTTATGACATACTCGTTTAGATTGTGGTTTCCAATGGAAGTTTTGGAAATTTTCGACTAACTTTTAGACACGATTTAATAAAATGTCAGAGACTTGTTCACCGCATCGATCTGGGTGTTCAACTATCAACCAACCAGATGGGATGAACTCATCAAACAAACTGCTCCACTGGAATCCATTAGACGTATTTCGTCTTGTTTTTAGGACTAAATCAAATGGGTGTATGTTCCTGCTCCCCAGTGAATGATGATGTTCCTAGTGAGGTTCAAAACCTTCACTTCTGTTGAATGAACACAGTCACGATTTATGTGAATTTCACAACACCTCTGTGTATAACCCAGTTGACGTATTCGTGTAGATTCTAGCCTATCGATCATTGGGATTGTATGTTATTATAAATGAATTTCAAGAACACTGTCGTATGTGTCGGTGGTCAAGAGGTAGCGGTAGACGTGGACTACCTGATCATAATATTTTAACATGAGTCGCACTCATTGTGTGTGGGGGGGGGACGGATGATACTCTCCATTCTGGAGTTTTCTGAGCTCGAACTTGTTACCCATTGGTTGATAGTTAAATGTTTTTCAGCCAATAAGCCTACATGTTCACCATAACTCATAAGACCAACAGATATACGTGTTTGTAGTTTTTGAGTTACATTGGAATAGATTTCACCTGACAATTCACTTGTTGTTTGTCTTAGAGTGATGTATTATTTTACACGCAAAGTAGCTGCAGCTAATATTGAATAAAATTACCACAACTATGCCGCAAACATTGCAGATTTTGACGTATACTGCAAGTATATCAGTCCTAGAAATTAAGTTGTATCATTTGTTGTCATACAAGATGCGTGGAGAGGTGGTGTTATGTGAGAATAGAACTTGGGCACTGTGGTAAAGATTATATTTCCATCACATAGAGTAGACTTTATCAAATAAGTTTACTGTGTGTGTGTGTGTGCAAATGTGGTTTGTTGGCTCAAGCACTCGGTTTTTTTTATGACCTGAACTGCGGCCTAGTAGTCTATCAGCGTATACTAACTTATTGGGCCGGCTAATCTGTCCTAATCTCACGTCAGCAATAACACTGCCGGCAGGCAAAGACACAAGAAAATACTTTTATTGCTTAACGTTTCCCAGTAGAACATAGGGCTTCAAGCTATATGCTTGAAGTTTCTGTAGCAGTGTTCATTTTCACAGGATGGGGTTGCTAGCCTCATGCCCAACGTTTCCTCCTCACCAGCTTTTTTATTACTGGCTTAGCGAGGTAAAGTAGTGCGTCGGCCGGGGATCGAATCCGGAGCCATGTGCATGGTCGGCGAGCGTCCTAACTGCTGTGTCACCGACGCACATATATATAATATATTCGTGTGGGCGATTGTTACTTCCCAGCTGTCCACACCGTAGAAGTCGAAGCAGAAAGAGAATTGGTGTGGCGTGACCGACAGTCATACACGGCCTGTTTGAGTTAGTTTTTAGTGTTGTTTCCGTATTAGTAACTTGCTACTAGCGGTGTGACCCACCGGCACGATAAGTAGAGGGATGTGCAGTTTTTCAGGTTGACCTTTTCTAACTCCCCTCTCCTCTTTTCCAGAGTGAAGAGGCAGCATAGTCGGCATACTGCTGTTCATCTGAGTGAAACACCTTTCTTCTCTTATCTATCCAGTCCCCCTAGCATTACGACTTTGTCCAGAGACCCCAAGAACAGTGTAAACACTATAAAACACTATGCCAGGAACTGCTTTTAATCTAATCGCTATCTAAACAACCTTTCTGGAATGATGGCAGGACCTTCAGGAACATTAGTTTTAGCCTACAAGTCAGGATATATATATATATATATATGCATTAAAAGTACACGCGTAACAAGGTTATTCAGCAAAATGTAACTGACAAAGTACAAGTAAACAGCTATATCTCAAATAAAAAAATATTTAGGCCAGACATATATATATATGTATATATAAGTTTATATGTACAGTAGTCACAAGGTTTCACTAAATACCTATTGTAATTAAAGCCAACAGTGTTTCCTATTACCCAGCCAGAGAGAAAGAAAGAAAGCCAAAAAAGCACATACAAACTAACCTGGATCATAATAATTGGATCAGTATGAGAAAGATACTTTTTCCCTCCTTGTAATTGAAAAATATATGCCTGGACGACAATATTAAAAGTGAAGCGCATTTGGTTTATCAAAACAATGATTTCACCAAAGCTAGCTAGTAGTCACATTTATGAAAAAAACACATACACAATGCACTAGCGATCAGTGAGGCATCCCGGGAGATCAGGTGTGCTTGATTCGAATCTCAGTCGGAACGCCATCCATCACTCACTACTAGGTTGGGGGGGGGATCGGTGGGTGTCGTTATGTACGTGCATCTATCTGATATGTTCCAAAACAAGATGAAATGTGTTCACTAGATTCCCATGCTAGTTATCAATCAACAAGCAATTCACATTTATATGTGTTATTATTATTATTGTTTCCTTGGTTACCGAGTGGAAGATAGGGCCTCAACAACACATTTTTCACTTTGTCTTGTTCTATGCGATCCTATTCAGCTGGACCCGCAATCGCCCATAGTCTCTCATCTCCTCTTCTATGTCACCCTCGGACTCACGCTCATCTTGTCGTCTTCCATTCGGGTTCCACCCAATAACTGGCCTGTCACACGATACCATTCGATGGTCGCCTCAACATGTGTCCGATCCAACTCCATTTTCTTTTGAATATTTTATTGAGCACCAGTTTCTTGATTGGTTCATCCCTAGAGTCTCTAGTTGCTGATTCATTCTGACCGATCATCTGAACTTCAGTAATGCAGTCAACGAAAGTTTTGTATTTGTGTTGAAATGTTGTCATCAATCAGCACGAGTTTACTGATACCTTATCTTCATTTTACCATTCTTCTTTTCTCCATTTTTCTAAATAAAAAACAAAACAATATTATCAACACATTTGTGTGTAATTATTGAATTAGCCGCTGACATCCGACGAATCATCTGGTCAACCGAATGCAAATCAAGGAGATAATAGAGAAGGTCTAGATCATTCAATAATAGGCGAATTCAGATATGCTCTTCCTCATGATTACTCTCATGATACTGCATTGTCGACAACTACTGTCCATGATGTGTCTACTACTATGGAAGTATCTGAAAACGGTGAGTTGTTAATGTTGATTATTTGATTGTCTGCATGTTGGGTGATTCATCGGTAGAATTACCTACCCGCCAACTACGCTGTACGTGATCAGGTGTTGGATCACCGACCAACGCATTGCTAAGCCTCGCTTATCTGGTGTTAGTAAACTCTCGATAAAGAAGGGTGGAAGGTTGAACGTGAGGCTAGCTACCTACCCCACCCGGTAAGAAATAAACACCACGAAGCTGAATCTTGAAGTCCGATTTTCAGTCAAAACTCTAAGAATTAAAATGCAAAATAAATAAATTTGATTGTCCACTTTCTATTTGATGTTTGCATTTACAAACGAGTATAAATTTTAATTTATTGAGTTTATTCACTTTGGTAACTTATTTGAGCTGTTCTTTGATATCCGATTATCTGACGAGTGTACATACGAGGGATTAGTGATCAAATATGGGAAATTGAAAACTGTAACGCTAACTTTGTAAGTGAGAAAAGACCAATGAGGTTCGAAGGCAATGTTTATTAGGACAAACGCATTATAGGTACATAAATTTGGTATACCCTTATCTTTAAGTCTTTATTTGCACATCATTTGCAAATTGGTCGAATATCACCACATTCCATAACTTGTTGGATTTTGCACAGTGTTGTAACGTTCTTCTCACAGTTCTCTTCGTGTACTACTTTTTTCCATTGCCCAAAACATATTGATACTTTTCTGAATTCGTTTACTGACATCCTACTTATATCCGATTATAAGTAGGAATCACCGCAAGTATACAGCGGTGCAGCAACGCTTTTTCCCTTCCCAAAGATTCTGTGTATCTCCAACAATACTGAATTCTTATTGTCAATTTTAAAAGGTAACTCTGACATGCTCAGATGTCTATGAAGTTTCTATTTCGTAGGATAGATCTCATAGTATGAAGTCTATTTAAAAGGAACAATGGGATGAAATCATTCCTTAAAAATGGTGTATCTTACTTAAACCTAATTTACTGTGCAGTTTGTCGTATTAATTAATTCATTAAAATTTTCACCAGTATTTCACTTCCTCCTCCCCCCCCCCTAGCATAAATGAATGAGTAGTCTTCAGTAGTAGTGTAAAAACCTAGCTAAAGCCAATTGAATTGTAATCTGTGGATGTTCTCTGTGTTTCTTAAACTCCAGTTGTAATCCAAGTCATGTTATTCTATTGTTGTTTCGATTATATTAGAGTTCAACAGTCAGTCCATATAGTCCTTCAGTTGTAGATATGAGACTAGTTTCTTGAGTAAGAAGAATACAAGGTAACAGACCTTCATTAGTTAGTGTCTGTAAGTATGGTATGTACTTTGCGTCGTCTAAGTGCAAAGTACTGTTACAAGATTGGCAGGAGCCTGTACCTGCACTCACTCTTGCGGGTGAACCGCTTGAAGTTGTTGATAAGTTTGTGTACCTAGGTAGTTGTGTGAGTGCTGGCGGAGGGGTGACGGATGAGATTTCCAACCTTATAATGAAGGCTAGGGTGGCATACATCAACTTGAGCCACCTCTGGCGCCGTCGCGATGTTAGCCTGGCTGTCAAAGGTCGGGTATCCAATGCTTCGGTGCGGGCTGCGCTGCTCTACGCCTGTGAAACCTGGCCTCTCCGAGCTGAGGATGTGAGGCGACTCTGCGTGTCCGATCATCGCTGTCTCCGCAGGATTGCTTGCGTTCGATGGCATCATCACGTGAGTAATTCTGCGGTTCGGCGGCGTGTGTTTGAACACAGTGGAGATCGCCATTCATTGAGTGTTGTCGTCATCTGGAAACACGGCTTCGGTGGCTTGGACATGTGCTGCGAATGTCATCCCAGAGGCTTCTGTACAGGTCTCTGTTCGCTAGCCCTGGGACGGGATGGAAAAGGCGGAGGGTTGGTCAGTCCATGACGTGGCGTCGTGGGATGAAGGATATTTGTGCTAGATTAGCATCGGTTGGTGTGTCACGACTCCCTGGTTGGGGTCCTTAGTGTAATTAAACAGTTGTCAGGATGTACACACTCTTAATACCCCTCTCTGTTTCATCCGCTTTCGTTGCTCACTGTTATTGACTGTTGTTACGAACACTTTGAGTCAGTATACCATTAGAGCTCCTCGCCATGTTTGAAGTTCTCTGGTTGGTATTAGTCTGCTTGCACCAATCAGTTCAGATGAAGTCTATGTATTTTACGTTCGTTTTTGCGCTTCTGTTCCCTTATTGTCTACCATTTCGAAGTGTATCAAATGGAACTGACACACTTGTGCGCAGCTCTACACTAACTTATATGGTGTTAATCACAGTGTCTTCATGGGAAAATGCGTTTCTTGAATACTACAAAACGTTTTGTTGATGACTGTCATTAAGGAAATAATTTAGGTGAAACAGGATATTTTGCTGATTGACGTCCGATATTGAACAGCAAGACTTAATAAACCACAACGTTTACTTACTCTCAACTCGATCATCAGCGTATTTTACAGTTGATTGCTATTCAATTCCTACAGAAAATGCATAATTGTATCCACCGTCTATGTTTTTTACAAAATATGTTTTTACTCATTTCGATCAACCTTCTCTTGTTTGTAGGAAAACGGTTATCTGCATTGGCGTCAACTTTTCTACCGAAGAATTCTACCATCAACTACACAGCTATTGAACAGGTAATCAATATTTTATCATAATATTGTAAATTTAGCGTGTGCATCAGTGCATCTTTGTTTTATATGTATGCATAACATTAATTAACGATAGAGTTGTTATTCATTGGTATATAAGCTCTTGGCTTCCAACCATCGAGTTACGGCTTCGAACCCTGTCTCAACTTCATCGTGATTCGTAGGCCAGATAGTATCATTAACCCGCACACAAATATCAATTACTACCATCGTGACGAAACTAAAAGGTGCTGTGGATGCAGAACTCCTCTCTGAATAAGCTGGGTTCACGAAAAGCAAATCATGTGCTGAGTAAATTGCAACGCTATGCAATATCATTGAACAGAGCATAGAATGGCAGTCAAAGCTCTACCTCAACTTCATTGACTTTGAAAAAGCTTTCAACAGCAATGACCTGGTAGTCATTTGGAAACTACTTCAACAGTATAGAGTGCAATGCCCAAATCTTTATCAATGTCATTCAACTGACTGACTGACTGGTTTCAACATAGAACTTTGCACCGATGTGCAACAGTTCGAGTCACCACACTTCACTCAGCACACAAAACAAGAGAAGAAAGTAAAAAGAAATGCAAAATAGAGACAGTAAACAGAGATATGAGGCAAAAGGAGTATTAATATCGAAGAACAATATAGTTTCATTGGGTCTTATAAGTCACAAGGAGTGGATGCATCTGCGCCATTGAGAACGATGGTTTTGAGCCATATCACCAGTTGTCTCCAGCCATTTGTTTTTACCATCCCGAGGACCCCAACCAGGAAGCCAGTCTACATCTCCCTACGCAGCTGGCTCAAACTAATAGATGCGGATTTCATTGACTGATGAAGCCATGTTTTGGTTTTACCACCACTAGCTAGCTGTTTTCCATCCTGACCCTATATCAGCTAACATTGCTCATTGTCGAGGAAGGCGATGGCTAGGCATACGTAGCACATGTCCTAACCATCTCAATCGATGTAGCTTAACAGCCTCATCGATTGATTTCCCCTCCTTACCTAGCACTCGACCGATGCCTAACGTCAATATTGCTCACCCTATTATACTACTTCACACGGGAGATAGAACGCAGGCACCAATGATCAAAGATAGCTATCCGGCCTTTTTATGTCTCAATGGCCAATGGTCTCACAGCCATAAAGGAGGATGGAGCGGACTGCTGAGGAGTGCACACGTCCTTTGGTCGACAACCAGTCGAATATCACGTCGCCTCCAAAGCCTCAGGATAGTCGGGGGGGTGTGCCTTGCGCTGCGGGTTGGCCACCCCTCCGCACACCTCTTGAAATGCTCCCATATGACCAGGCGTCTTACATAGCCTCTCCTGAAGAAGTCCTACTCACTGCCTTCACGTGGCGGAGGTGTTTTTCACCAAAGTGAGAGGGCGAAAGCGGACGCCCGGCGCTCTTCACCGGGTTGACTGTCAATAGGATGACAGTCTAGGGGAGATGGCTAAACCCTGACTCCAAACCTCCAACGACTGGCGTATGTAGCTGACTGGAGCTCACCGGCAGACGTATGGACAAAGGGCTTGTTGGATGTCCTGGATGTCTGGCCCCATTCAAAAAGGCGTATGAACCGAACTCCGGTCACCGGCTGCCAATGGATAGTGGACTCCGTACTCCACTCCTACTGCCTTGTAGGTCACACTCGATTGTGTAAAGGCTAGAGCTGCACTCTCAAACAAAAGACCGAGCGATTCTGGGGACATCACTCGTACGAAATTCTCATGAAACTTCATGAACTCTCTTCATCAGATCACCGCGCCTGGGCAGCGATGATTCGAGATGTTCATGAAGCCGGCTCATCCTCCCGTAGGGGGGTTCCTGGTTGGGGTCCTCGGGACTCTAAGAATCAATGGCTGGAGACAATAGGTGACATGGCTCAAAATCGTTGTCATTGGCGCAGATGTATTCAGTCTCTTTAACCTTCATACTCCTTTCTACCATTACTCATTCTGTTTTACTCTTATACTTGTCAAAACTCTATTGATTCTCTTCACTCATTTTTTTGTCTACCTTTGTGTGCTATTTGGAACGTGGCAACTCGAACTGCTGCACTTCGGTGCCAAGTTCTATGTTGAATCCAGACAGACAGACAGACATGGAGTGTGGCGACTTCAACCGCCGCACACATGTGGAAAGTTCTATGTCGAAAACCGACCGACCGACCATCCTCCCGTGGGAGATAGCCGAAGTAAAGTAAAAGTAAGTAAGAATATCACGTCTACGCCAGAGATGGTGTAAAATGGCATATTAACAACGAGCCTTCTGTATCCGTGCTGAGATTTGGTCAGCGATCAACCCGTTAGCACAGGTTGATGCAGCTTCCCAAATAAGTGAAGTGGTCAACGTACTCTACCACTTCACTCCTTATTTCTAAGCTAGGAGTCAATGTAGTCCATTCCAGTCCTGTAGCCTCATCATCTTACATTTTGCCGGAGCCAATCTCATGTCAAACATTCGCAGATTGCTCCCCCTCAAGGTATTCAGAAGACTCTTCATTTTGTCATGTCATTCAACAGCTATATGACAATGCTACATGTCAAGTGATCTAAAACGGGAAACTCAGCGAGGCGTTCGAAGTGAATACAGGAGTAAGACAAGTCTGTCTGCTATCATCAATTATATTCCTAATTGTTGTGGTTTGACTGCATTATGCGGAAGACTGTGGGGAGAGAGAGAGAGAGAGAAGACAAGGATATTTTGAACCAACAAGGAGACTTAATAAGATTTGAACTTTGCTTGTGTTTTATATCTAATATCTCACAAACTCGAAGATCCACAGGCGAAAAGTGATAGGTCGACAGACGAAGGATGCAGCGAGGACAGAACTTCAAGTGAATTATGTAAGAAGACAGGGGTAAGCGGGTAGGTGAGAGATTATGTCTACTCGTATAGCCAGGTAAAGAGGACTGCGGAGAACGGAATGAAATGGTCATATGCTGTTGAAGGCATATGTTCCACTCATATCACCTGAGGAGGGAATAACAGTTAGCAGCAGGTTATAAAACTACTCACTGCCTCTTTTGAGTAGTACATTTCACTGCGAATTATTTCTTGATGACCTTCATCTAAATTATGGACATGATAGTCGTCTCATGTCCGTGAACACTTTCTTCTATGCTGTGATGATGGGTTATCCATTATTTATTGGCTTTCATAATATTATATTCCAAAAGGCCATATATACACTACTCTGCTAGTGTTTGCCACCACTTTTTTCAGTCTTACTGGGTTAGGTCAAGGTGTCTACCGCATAGTTTTTCTTCGCCTGTATTTGTGTATGATTGTGTGTGTGTGTGTGTGAGAGAGAGAGAGAGGTTGCTAGCCTGTCCGCTAGCCCCTACTGACATGGGTGATTCACGCGCTTAAGACAGTATGGATCCAACAACCAGCAGTCTGACCTTGTTTATGCATTTCTGGACAAGTAGGGAATTTTGATGTGAATAAACAAAAGAAACAATAATCAGTAAACAAGATTTTACAAAACAGCAGAAAGGACAAGAGGGCGAAGAAAAACAGGAAGAAGAAGAAGAAGAAAGAGAGAAACGTCTGGAAATTCAGTTCCTTTTCTCTTTCTTATTTCTTATATACTAATATTGTGACCTGCTTAGTTGTGAAGGTTGATTGAGAGGCAAACCACGTCCGTCCTATTTGTCTGGCACATTTGAGCTTTTTCTAGTTTCACTACCACAGATATATATATATATATATATTCAATACACGTGTCAGTAAACTGTCCTATCAGTGTGTTTTTCTGCATTACTGTTGTTTGTTGGTTGGTTGATTGGTTGGTTGTTGTTCATCTCAGCAGTGCATTTTGTCCACTTGTGTTTACTTGTTGTGCTTGTATACTACTAACCGATTTCTGACTGATGATGATGTGATGATTCACTACTGGTACTGCAGTGATAGCATTGTCTGTTTATTTACTGCCTCTTCTTGTTTTCTGTTTCTTTGTGTGTTTTCTTTTTCATAATCTTTCTTTTAGTTATATGAGTTTTATCTTTCATGATGTCTACTGTGAAGATGGCTTACTATGATCAGTATTCATCAGTCTGAAGCATCTCAAATTTTGGCTTTGTTTTGTACACTCACTCACGCACACACACACACACACGCCTCGAATGATGAGCTCATTATTAGTCATCTTGTGTAGGCCACTTAGTTAGTTAACCGTTAGTTGTAATACAAATGCATTGAAATGTACTAGTTAGAAGAATTGATTTTTTCTGTTTTGACTAGATTCTCTTTACACAATAACAATTTTCGATTGCCTTGATATGTTAGTACACAGAATCTCAAGCTGTATGTCATTTTCTTTCTGAGAGTTACAGTGCTTACTTCATCGCGTGGAGAGACATCGCTTAACCTTCTTTTTTCAGTAGCTTATTTGCGCCATAATTCCGAAAATGTGGAGGGTGGATGTGTGTGGGTTAACGGCATACTAAGTTTATGCCTGAAATAACAACCTCTTTTACCTACCGACCTGAGAAGCATCCTTTCAACTACAGCTGGCTGGAACTGACGAGGATATCAAAGCAAGAATCGGAAGAGCAAGACAAGCTTTCACTACTCTCAAGTCTGTGTGGAGGTCAACAGCCCTACTCAGCATGAAAATGAAAATAAGATCCGGATTTTCAACTCCAATGTGAAGTCAGTGCTATTATACGGATCAGAGACTTGGCCAGCACATCATAAAGAGCATCTCAAACAAACTACAGACCTTCGTTAACAGTTGTCTTCGCTCAATACCACTCAAGATCAGATGGTCGGCTAGAAAAGATCAGCAACAGGGATCTCTGGGAGCGAACCAACCAGGAACCGATTGTGAAACAAATAGGCAGGAAGAAATGGAGATGGATTGGCTGGCCATACTCTGAGGAAACCATCAAGTGACATCACTAGACAAGCCACTGCTCGAGTGTAACCCGAAAGGGAAGCGGCGAGTTGGTCGTCAGCAAGGGTGACTTGGAGGAGGTCATGTGAAGAGGAGATGAAAACGTGTGGGCAGACTTGGAGCCAGGTGAAGACTCTAGCAGAGAACAGAACGCAATGGAGACGCACGGCTGAAGCCCTATGTTCCTCTAGGAATTAAAGGAAACAATAATAATAATAAAAAGTGTGAATTATTATCATTGATTATTAATTATTCCAATCAATTCCGGGTAGAACATACGACTTCAATAGTACATCTCCATTTCATCCTGTCCGCTTTAGTCGTTTATAGCTGACTATTCGTTGATTACCCACGAGATTTCATCATCTCCTACTCATACGATCTCCTCTATATCATCCTCGGACCCACGCATAACTCACCCTTTCGCCGTTTTGGGTTCCACTAGGGCACTGGCGTGGGGTGCGGTCTCTTCAGTATGTCCCAGATCCGTCTCGATTTTATACAGCATATTTGTTGGACAGTAGAGTTGTTTGTTGGTTTGTTTATAGAGTTCCTTGTTGCTAATTCCCTCTGGCCAGTTAGTTATCTCATCTCCAGTATGGATGGAGTCAGTGAAGATGATAAAAGTCTATAGTAGTAGTAGTAGCCTGTTTGAATTGTGTTTTTATTGTGATGGATCAAGTCTCCGATTTGACATTAGCGTTCAAAATAATCTGAATCTTGTTCTTTACGCTTAGTGCAGTGTAGATTTCTAGACTGATTTCAGATATTAATGAAAAGTACTGCTGATTATTTTAACGTACTTCAGAGCAAAGTACAACCGATCATTCAGAATGTAGTCAAGATCATGTTTCACTAGTGTTGCGTATATATTTGAATCACTGCCTATAACCGACTTTAATGCACTTTAAACTAGCTTCTAACTCTTTGTGTGTGTGTGTGTGGGAAATTCAATTCAATTGTCAGTTGATCACATTACAAGTATTGTACTCATTGTACATTGGTACGGAGATGTGGCTCTCTGTCTTTAAGTGCTCAACTATCAGTTGACAGGTGGTAGCAGGTTCTAGTCTTGCTCCACCACCAACCTCAGTCTGCTTCAACAACTTGAGTAGTATGAGCAGACATGAGAAATCTGTCCTGCCTGATTGGACTTAAATAAAATAAAGATAAGCATTAGGACTGGTTGTTTTTGTTCCTTGTGATAATGTCCTAGGAATGAAACAAAACAAAACTGCATTGATGTTTGTTTTGTCAGCTGATTTTCGCTATCCTAACCGATCACTTTCTATGTTTACGTACCGCAGTTATAACTGACGTGATGCACAGAACTAACTGCATCAGCTTTACTTGCCACTTTTCGAAGAAAATAGACATAATAGTGTTACAATGGGCAAAGATGATGATGCACAGGAGAAAGAATAATTCAACGAAGGTTACTGTGAATTAATTCTGTGTATGTTGACTAGCCGTGGAATTCAGGGCATATATGTACATTTCATCCTATTTAGGACTTGTGTGCTGGATGTACCTCTATCCTCCAGCGATTGGTGATGTACCCGTTTAGACTCGACCCAATACCCAATATCGTTCCAAATGTCAGAGAGTTACCCACTAAATCCTCTGACATCTTCGAACCCTCCTTTCTAGAAGCCCAGCATTTCGGTTCAATAAGTCAACAGGAAAATCAAAACTAACAAAAAAAAATAAGGTCACGTAATGTCTTCATAATCTATCTGCATTTATTAACCGCGAGTAGAATACATCTGTACCATTGTAAATAATCTTGATTCATGTGATCAGAAAACTTTAAACAGGGATTCTTAACACCTCCGAGAATACTATCTACAAAAAAATAATGTACATCTTCCTACATATGGCTCAAAAAACCAGAGGCCAAACAAGTTCATGGATTGCTACTGTGTTTCGCTCTAACCAATATAAAAATTCATTTTCATACTAGAAGTATTACTTCATTTGACTCATAATTTAAACAGCAAGTGATTTAGTGTGTCCTTATTCCTTTAAAATCCCTTTCCTGCGTTGTACACGAGTACATTGGACCTCTTGTGTGGTTCGTACACACTTCAGTAGACTGTCCGCTGCACAATCTCGAAGAATTGATTCTCCTTTAGACATCCGAAGACCTGTTAAGTAAAATACACCATCATTATTAAACTAAGATAGTTAAGACAATTGGTAGATGTGCATTTCGTCCCATTTGGGACTCGTCATCAACTGGATGTACCTGCATTCCCCAGTGAGTGATGGTGTTCCCACCGAGGCTCGAACCCAGTAGTGCCCATAGTTTCGAACGCCAAAGCAGGCGAACCCAGTGATGAGTCCCAAAGAGGACGAAATGCGCATCCTGGATTCCAGTTCCTAGTTACCATCCACCAGTTGACTTCAAGTTACATGACTAGATATCGTCGAAGTATCTGCACAAGGAGTCGATATGTCAACCTGAGACCGAGTACTTTGGGTCCAATCAATCGATGGGAATGAACTAAATAAGACAGTTAATACTTTGTACTCTAATCTTATCCAGTTTAATGTGTAAAAATATTTTGTTGTTATTGTTATTGTTGTTGCATAATCTACTGATTTATCAACTCTTTTTTCGTCTTCTTGTACATATATTCAGGATTGTGATGAAGATCAACAATTGAACAATAAACTATTAGATGCAGATCGCATATTAATAAAAAAGGTAAACTGATGTAGTTCAATCTCTTAACTGTGATGTGGCTACTTTTTTGTCATATATATATGTATGTGTACAGTAAATCACGTGTTTGTCCTACATCACGATGATTACAATCCGATATGAGATATCTCTTGTTTGTAGGTTTGACTTTGTCGTATGTTAAGATGTTAGTTGTTTATTCTGTTCACAATTTGTTTTTTTATATTGATAATAATAATAATAATGATAAAGTTTTATTTCAGACAATATAGGAACACATAGTACAAAAATTTTCAGCCTATTTAGTTCCAGAATACTTTTTTCTTCATACAAGATTTCTATGTTAACTAATGATGTGAAGTGTGTATATCGTGTGACACAGCGTTCATGCATATGAAGAAACAATCGAATCTGTGTAGCTGTTTCATCCTAGTGCTTGAAACTCATCGGCAGTATGCACCCACCGCCAGGGTTCGAACTCAGGACCCTCCGGTCACAAGAAAAGCTAGCTCGTAGGCCATTCAGCCACTGGGACCCGATTCAATAGCCCATGAATTCTAAATTCCACCAATTGATGATTTAGCACGACCACCAACCAATGTCATCGGGGGAAAATCCATCCTCGCACTTGATTGGTTGGACCTCACTGGTTACGACTTCTCACTAGAACTCCAGGAAACTCCGTCCTGTAGCCAGTCACTAGCGAGCATCCGATTAATTTTCAAGAGTTGGTTTGTAAGGATTAAATTTGTTTTTACGAGTTTGACCACAGATTGATGTCAGTTAGAGAACCATTGAAATTAATCTGATAGTCGTTAGTGACTTGCTACAGAGGACGGAGTTTCCTAGAGTCCTAGTGAGGAGTCATGACCAGTGAGGTCCATTCAGTCAAGTGTGTGAGGATGGATTTCCCACTGACGACACTGGTTGGTGGTCGCGCTAAATCACAAATTGGTAGAAGTTAGAATTCATGGGTTGGTCACTGAATCGGGTCCTAGTGGCTGAATGGACTACGAGCTTGTCTTGTAAACAGAAGGTCCTGGGTTCGAACCCTGGCAGTGATTGCGTACTGCCGATGATTCCCAAACTAGGATGAAACAGCTGTCCAGTACTCCCTGTGGCTGGTTTTCAATGGTTCTCTAATTGATATCAATCCGTGATCAAACTAGTAAAAACAAATTTAATCCTCACAAACCAACTGTTGAAAACAAATCTGTATAGTTTTTCTTCATTTTCTTCAAGAATTGTACAGCGTTTATCTGGAAGCTAATTAAATATACGCGCGAATTCATGTAGTGATCATTGGTCGTAAAATATCAGTGTCCTCTATTTAGTTGTTTGTGATGATTTATATTAGTTGTCTACATTAACTACGTCATATCTGTGTGATTATCATTCACTTCATGGTTTAATGAACACATGAGTTCATCTCTCCTGAAATGTAGGTGTTAAGTAGACTAACCATCATTTGCTTTGATGCATAGATGGCTCCATTGTCTCAAACACTTGATTTTGGCTTGGTGGGTCTTGAGTTCGAATCCTACTTCATCTATTTCAGTCTGTGCAGTTGGATAATGCCGTTAGCCTTCAACCAAACAACATGTCTGACTCATAATCTCGAATATGTAAAGTCTCCAGCGTATCTGAGATATAGTAATATAAGTCCTGGCAGTGCCGCAACATCTTAGATATCCACACTGAAGTGGGAGTACTAAAAGTTATACAGTAAAGTGAAAGGATGGTGACTAACAGTGGAATTCAGGATGCACATTTCGTTCTATTTGGGACCCGTCACTAAACGTACTTGCATTCCCCAGTGAGTGATGGTGTTCGTACCGAGGCTCGAACCCAGTAGTGCCCATAGTTTCAAATGCCAAAGCGTTACCCTCTAGATCACTTGGGCCACGAAACGGAACACGTCGGTCCAATCAACCAAAGTGAAAATTTAAATTGAAGTAAATAATTAATAAGACCCGTCGCACAAGAGATGGCTTTCGTTGCCCAAGTGGTCTAGTGGATAACGCTTTGGCATTTGAAACTATGGGCATTACTGGGTTCGAACTTCTGTGGGAACATCATTACTCACTGGGGAAAGCAAGTACATCTAGGTGATGACAAGTCCAAAATAGGAAGAAATGCGCATCCTGTTTTCCACTGCTAGTCACCATCCATCACTTGACTTCAAGTTACATGACCAGAGATTGTCGAAACATCTGTACTAGGCACCGACATTTCAACCTGAGACCGAGCACTTTGGTTCAATCAATTGACAGGAAAATCTAAATTGAATTAAAATGTACAGTAAAGGCTTGTAGAACACCAGAAGACATGGGAAGGGAAGGAAAAATTTGAATTAAGATGAAGATAAGACTCCCCAGTCGTCATTGATCCGAGTTCTCAGATGGACTCTTTCCAAGTAATCTACACTAATGTAAAGTGTTCAGAACAAGGATATTTACTGCCTACTCGATTAGTACTACATCTTGGTTTGGGTAACGAATACTTTCCTCCAGTCCAATCCTCGGTCGGTTTTCGACATAGAACTTTGTACATATGTGCGTCAGTTCAAGTCGCCACACTCCATGTTGCACACAAAGCAAGAGAAGAAAGTAGAAGAAATGCATAATATAGTCAGTAAACAGAGGTGTGAGACAAAGGAGTAGTAATAACGGAGAACAAAACAGTTTAATTGGAAATCATGAGTCACAAGGAGTGGATGCATCTGTAATCCTACCTGTACGAAAACAGATTACTTAGGTAGGCGGCAGATGTAACCAAAAGTTATCATATGACATCACACATCAAGCGCTCCAGTGGAACTCGAACGGCAAATGATTGGTTGGGCATCCGAGGGTGACAGAGGAGTAAAAGCTTTTGGACAGTCGTACAGTTAGTTGAAAGTGCTGGTAACAAACCGAGTGTAATGGAAATGTACGGCTGAAACCCTATGTTCCACTCGGGATTCAAGGGACCGAATAATTATCATTGATGATATTGACGCGTACCTCAACGCGTTAAGTTATGACACAAGGAGAAAATGATACCTGACTGGTTTAAACAATACCACACTGGTGAAAAATTTAAAAAAATTATTTACATTTTAGGATTCATTGCATACAACCTTATTAACTGATTAATCATTAGTTTGTGCTGACTAGAGAATAACTCAATAACCCTTTCATCATTGTGTAAATAAACTTTTCGGTCGATTTTTTGTGTGAATTTATTTAACACCTTGTGATTATAATCATTGTGCTTTTTCATACTTTTACTGGAATGAATAGATTGTGAAAGGTTTAGTTTAAAGCGTAGCTATATGCTAAAACACAAGAAAAACATGGTAGTCATTTCGCAGCTTGATCGAGAACACAGACATGCTACACGAACTTCCTTGTTGGCTAAACACTTCCAGTTGCTTTTGATGCTGCAACTTATGGGGTATTAAGTAATTCCTGCTTAACTAGTATGTTTCGGAATTGAGACCTTTCCAATGCATTGGAGCTGTGGCTTACCAGTTTACGAGTCCGACTTCTAACTACAGAGTTAAGGGTTAGAAACCTTATCCACCTACTACTAGTGCGTTTGAGCGACGTGGAAGTAACTATCATTAGCCTTCTCACTATGAGTGTTGCTCACTGCCAACTGCAGGGGAATGCAAATATCTATCGGGTAACATTTCCAGTGACATTTAGCCATTTGAATGAAGCCGAGTTGCTTATCTCATGTTACCGTTTAACATAAGAAAAGAAACATTTTATTGTTTATTCTGCAGAACGAAGGATATTCATCGAAGAGCGACTTTTTCAGTGATCTATTCGTGATCAGATTATTACCGTACTCTTTCTTACTTCTCTCTTTTAGCATTAAATTCAAGTCAGGTTTCATAACAAATTCGGAGTAGTCCGAAAGACACAAAGAAAAGCTAGAGAGCATTGGATGTCTGTTTCGTGCTATATGCGGACTCGTATCAGATATTTGCGACCTGTAGTTTCAACTAGGTCTCGTATGTGGATCGGTATCCATCGCAGCTATTGTGTTATGCTGGAGTTATATATCCTGAATCATTATGTTGCAGCTCATTCGATGAAAAGCAATGTAGTTGTCTTTAAAGGCGGCTGTTTTAGGCTTGATTCCACATATGCACTGTGGAGAAGTTGTAGATAAAATCAGAGCAGATGTTGAGTCGTCTACTGTTTACGATTATCTCCTAATTCACATCGATATTTGAACTCAATCACCCGGAAAAGATCTTCCTTGTGGCCAGGTAAGAGCTATGAAGGCTTATGGTATTACCCGATTGGACCAAGACTTGAACTTATCGTCAATGGGCTGAGAACTGAGCTCTTAAGCCAATGAGTTACACTTCCATACACTAAACTGTCTCGTAGAATGAAGCTTTTTAAAATCATAGTTGTATCCAAGTTCCACTTTTCATCGTATCAGTTGTTCTAGTAAAAATGGTTACAATTTCTCTAATTTTCGCTTCTGTTAATCAGTTTGTGTACACCATCGTTATTTTTCTTTTTCTTAGTAACTATCAATTAAAAATACCGCTCTCTCTTATTTTTACTTCTGTCCATGTAAACAGATATTGACACTTCTAAAATTACCGTGTTCACAACTTCTTGTACCTCCTGAGGAGCCGTCATATTTGAATATGTCAAATTCTGTAAAAAATGGTGATACAGACCAATCGTTGACTGAGGCTACTGACATTTCAACTATGTGTAAGTGTAATACGATACGATACTATAAGTTTTTACTTCTTTTCCTATTGATTTGAATACAAACTTTGTCATAGAAAGTAGACCAAACGTGTACGCCACAAAAAATAACCGAACTACAATATGAAAACTGGTAAATATTATGACCATGTATATTGAAAGAACTACTGACTACGTCATAGAAATTTTGGCAGCATCAGAAGCAGGCTAACTGATTCTGAGCCATTTCAGTTGACTTTACGAGTCGAATAATATCTTGGAGAGTCCACCTTGATATTTGTAATCTGCAGTACAGATAATAACCGAAATCAATTGTCCTTCATTCAATAGTCTCCTGGGATTCACTAATCTCCTCTCTACTCTTTCCTAAACAGTTTCGAGCTAGGAAACAGTGAATGGTATGAAAGCCCTTGGGATGGTGACATTCGGAACATATAGTCCGCAAATAAGAATCACCTGTTGACCAATGCTCCCCCCTCCCCGCTGAGGTACAAACACTACACCATTTGACGTCAGAAATACATCTGTAATGAAGAAAAGACTGAGGAGGCTGAAAGGAATGTTTATTTGATGAAACGTATGGTACATAGCTAAATTTGGTATACCATATTCTCAACCTGCCATTTGCACATCATTTACCACATCCTTGACGAATTGTTCGAATATCGTCACATTCGATAGCTTCTTGGATTCTGCATCATATGGCAACATTCTTCTCATGGTTCTCTTCTTTGATTGCTCTTTCCAGTGTGCCAAACATATTGTTACCTTTCTGAATTCGTTTCTGATATACTACTTATATTGGATTATAAGTAGCACTCACCACACATCAACTGGTCAGTAGATTCAAGTTCTCCTACTGAAATACAGAGGATAGTCGAAGAGGCAACTGAGTTCCACTGTTTACTATTATTGTTATTGTGCATGCCACGTTTGTGAGTTGGGCTAAAAATCTTTCATGTGTTATATAGGTACATTATCTTCACAATTGCCTGAACCGAGTATTATGAAGTCATCAGTTTGAAGAACTGTATTCTTCATGCAAAATGGGAAAAAATTCCGTAGCATTCGCTGTGTGTGCTTCATATCTAGAACCTCCATCCAATACATCGTCAGAATTAATGTTCAAGTTGTTTGCCAGTTACGAAAGACATTCAATGATCATATCCTCCACCTCTTGAGGTTATCAAGCTCTCTACACTGCTTTAATGAATTTACAAAACTCATGCTACCCTATGACACTAAATAATTTTGATTGGATACTAGTGACTAACTAGTGTAATGTGTCTAGTCCTTTGTTTGCTGCAGACTGAATTCTATCAGTCCAGTTTACAATATAGTCAGCATGCTAGTTGGCTTGCCATCACGTTGCACTGTGAATTGATTTGTTGGTATTAGATGGTTTGGGACAATCGGTAGGAAGCCCAACGCGACCTAGGTTTCGTGCTAGTTGGTGGCACTCACCAGTCAGCAAGGCGTATCTAGAACCTTGAAGGAACTCATGTCCCTTCTGAGATTCGAACCCGCGTCACCCAGTACTGCATTGAAAGGACTAGACATGCTACACTAGTTACTAACTGGTGTCCAATCAAAAGTATCCAATACAGTCCTGAAGGAGGTTAATCGCAAGCCTGAATAGCTCAGTGGTAACGTCTTGACTGCAGCAATGAGTGACTCGGGTTCGAATCTCAGAAGGGACATGAGTTCCTTCAGGGTTGCAGATATGCTTTGCTGACTGGTGAGTGCCAACTAGCACGAAACTTAGGTCGGGTTGGGCTTCCTGTCGACTTCCTCCAACCATCTATTACTACATAATTTCTTTGTTAACTGCTCTGTGTGTCTGTCTGTTTTCAACATACAACTTTGCAACGGTATGCAGCAGTTCGAGTCGCCACATTCCATGTAGCACACAAAGCAAGGGAAGAAAGTAGAAGAAATGCAAAATAGAGGCAGTAAACAGAGGTGTGGTGAGACAAAGGAATAGTAATATCGAAGAACAATATAGTTTTATTGGGTATTATAAGTCACAAGGAGTGGATGCATCTTCGCCAGCCATTGCGAACGATCACTTTGAGCCATATCACCGATTGTCTCCAGCTGTCATTGGTTGTTTACCGTCCCAAATGTGTACTGCACTAGGTGCGCTTTTGATGAATAAATTATCCACTGTTAGTTCACAGGGACTTGATTGGTTTCAAGTTTGATCACTAGAGTGTTGACATCAGTTAGAGAACCAGTGAAATCCATCAGGGAGTACTGGACAACCGTTTCGCCTCAATTTGAGACTCGTCGCCAGTGCGCACCCACCAATGGAGTTCAAACCTAGGACATTCTGGTTACGAGGCGAACTCGTGCAACGATTCAGCCATTGGGACCTGACTCAATGACCAGCCCATGTTTCCTAACTTCTAATAAATCGTAATTTTAGCATGACAAAGTCGCGCATCCAGGTAGCTGAGTGATCTAAAAGATTTACTTTGTAACCGAAATGTCCTTGGTCCGAACCCTAATGGATGGGTGGCTGGGTGGGTCCCATCTATGTCCAGTATTCCCTGTTTTTTCAATGGTTCTCTGACTGATGTCAACTCGTGTTCAATCCTGTAATACAATTATTATCAAATCTTGGTCTCTTATAGCGTCTATCATCCTTCATTGAAACTCACTCCCCTTTTTGATTGCATCAGTCATACAGGCTTCAAAGATATGTACAAGTTCATTGTTCCATTGTAAGTATAATGAATATATATATATATTTTTATGCTACCTGATCTTCTTTCATTGATTCTCGTTATTTATAGCTGATCAAGTGGTCATCAAATTTGATGAGACACCTTTACGAAATCAATCCACTGATGAATTGAAACGACCTTATAGTGCAGAATGTATTAAAAAATCATCAATTCCTAATTACAATAATGATGATATTATGCTTCTATGCAATGAAAAGGTAAGTGAATTTATAATATCCAATGCTATAAATCACCGTTAAGCTGTGACACTGATACGTTTACTGACAATATATTTATGTATACAACTTCATTTTTATGATGTGTATATTATTGTTGTAATCATTCCCCTTTGGTGGAACACAGGATTTCAGCAGCACACCTCAGCTCTTAGGTCTGTTCTTCGCTGACTCCACCATTGGTCATAAGCTTGCATTGCCTCCTTACACGATCTCCTCTGTGTCACCGTCGGATGACCATCTGGTCTTTCCCCATTCCGGTTCCACTAGAACAATGGCCTGGTATGTGACATCATTCAATGTGTTCTCTAATCCATCTTCATTTATTTAGGTGTGCATTTGTTAAGCTATAGGTTCTTGGTCGGGTTAGTTGCCCAGTAGAGAGGTCCTTGTTGCTCACCTTTTCTTGCTATTTGACCTGTGATATGTGTAGTTACCAGTAGATTACATTGTCCTTGTCAATATGTTGTTTGACAACGCGTAGGCGAAATATTTCCACAAGTGTGTTCTGTTTGTTCTGAAATTCTTCTCCCAAAAGCAGCAATAAGTTGTTTTAAAAGACCAGTTTTACGTGAAGGTTTGTAGCGTTGAGTTTCGTATGCACTGTTATATCAATGACTTCCTATTTTGAGGCGTTTTAAAGTGTTGTTCAGACTGAAAACCGCTTCTTTCGTTATTGTGCCTTCTTTTCTACTATTGTAGAGTGGTTTAATTAACTTACACTTACTTGGAGATGTATCCTTTAAAGAACTTTTGTTATCTTTTTATAAATTATTCATTACCTCTCATTATTTTTTTATTTTATTCCTTTACGTTCCCAGTGGAACATAGGGTGGCTTCAAGCCAGAGGTCTGAAGTTTCGTTATCAGCGGTATTTATTTTTACGGGATGGGGTTACTAACCTCATGCACAACCTTCTCTCTTTACCAGTTTTATTACTAGCTTAGTGAGGTGTAAGGGAGTGCATCGGCCGGGGATCTAACCCAAAACCACATGAGGCGTGGTTGGTGAGCACTCTACCTCTGTACCACCGACACCTGCTTCTCTTCATATCCTCTTTTAAAATTATTTTGTATGCTACATTAATCAAAACCCATGCTGTTGTACTAAGATCTTTTTTAAAATACTTCTAGACCAAACCAAATTTGTAAATCATACAGGAAAGTATAATGAATTTTTGTCTCGAACTGTGCAATTTCTAGATTGCAAATTCGCTTCTACGTTTGTGAACGAGCGAAGTGGCCTTAAAGTGATTAGATCATTGATGAGCATCATTGCTTGATTGACTTCAGTGGTTTCCGACTACTTATTATCAATCAGTAGTGTAGTGTTATATTACTCGCTTGTCTTTTGTTTCCATCTTCTCTTCATATTGTTGTTATACTACTATGCATGCTGCATTCATTGAAGGCCGTGCCTGTACCAAGTTTATTTTTAAAAGTATACTCTTAGACCGAAGTTCAAGATATCTGGGTCAAACTGTTGACTTTTAGCTTCTTTTTTTGTATCATTTAAACTTTATGAAACTCCTATAGTAATTTCGATAGATGGTGACTAGCAGCGAAATCTAGGATACGCATTTAGTCCTATCTGGTATCCATCGTTAGCTGGATGTAAATGCATCATTCCCAGTGAGAGATTGATGTTTCCATCGAGACTCAAACCCAGTACCCATTGTCTCAAATACCAAAGCGTTTGGCCGAAATCCTCGACCTCTCACTGGGAATGCATGCACATCCAGCTGACGAGGCCCAAGCAGAACGAAACGTGTACGTTGGGTCCCACTGCTAGTCACCATCCACCAGAATTACTTCAAGTTGCTTGTCAGACACTGTCGAAGTGACCGTACTAAGGGCCTATATATGTCAGCCGAGGCCGAACACTTCGCTTTAATCAATTTCAATGGGGAAATCAAAACTTAGTTAAAAACAAATAGTTTATGAGTCATCGCTGATTGGATGTTTTGGAAATTGTTTTTTTTTTGGCGTCCGGTTTAGCAATAGTATGGCTATCAAGTCCTCAGACAAGCGTCTTGTTTGAATGTTACTCAACCAGCATGTACAGTTAGTTGTCAATGCATCATGCCTATTGTTGTTTGGCAGCCAGTGATACTAACCACCTAGCTGCCGAAACCTTGGTAGTTGGAGCGGGGTTCCAACCCGAGACTCACTGGATGGATCCTTTTAATGACAGGACATAGCCTCACTGTTTTTGTCGTTGACTGTTCTTAATTCAATATCAAATGTAACTTGTCTGATCGAAGTACAATTAGAAATGTGTTATACGCAAAGTTAGAATTCAGGGGTCATTGAATTTCAGTCTAATTGGCTGAATGGTCAATGAGCTTTTACTCTTGTAATCTGGAGGGGGGGGGTCATGGGTGCGCGCCGATGAAGAGTCGTGGAACCGGACGAAACCGCTGTTTGTCCAGTGCTCTAGGGTTTTTTAGTGATATTTCTCCGACTGATGTTAACTCGTGAGGAAAATCTTACGGTTGTAATTATACGCAACTATCCGAATTTTATACCAGTTTCCGAATCACCTCTTTCTGTCTCATATCTATATATAACAAGTAAATCGTTCATTGCCTGATGTGGAATAGTCACTCAGCCACCACCACCACCACTATACTGGCTAAAATTCGTAATCACTAAATTCGTACAGTTTTATTACCATCATTTATTTCTTACACATGCAATGTTAGACATATGTTAAACTAAAAAGATGAATAATCATTATTGCATGCGCTTCCTCCACCTGAAGGAACTAATTCGACAAATAATCTTTTTACTTAAAGCATGTCAATGGGAGAAAAAGTAACATTTGCGTCTAGGTTAACCTGTTTCCTTCTCTGCTGATAATGCCTATGCCCATATCACATATGTGTGTCTAGACTATGGTAATAATAATGCCTATGAAGTAATGTTATTCATTTCTATTTATTGCGGATGACCTTTTTTCCCAACTTCCTCTAATCATTTTATACTGATGGTGATTAGTCATGATTTTATACATTAGTTGTTTGTCTGATATTATTGATGACCGCATTAAAAAGTTTAATTTAGAATGTCTACAATAATAATCACAGAGAGAGAGAGTTATAGAGAAAGGCTATGGCTTTGCAGTATCTCTTATGAAAACATCATTTCTCTACAGTAAACTTACTCTGTTTGTTATCAGTATTTCTGTTCAAATTAGCCAGAAGGGAATATGAAATTTGGACTCCATTGTGTCGGAGTTGTGGGCTTACTTGGTATGCCTCAAATGCCACTTTTGTTGTCACACTATATACTAATATTAGACTGGAATGTCTTTTTAAGATTGTCTTATCTATGGAGGCTTAATGGACCTGGAATATTACAATGAGTAAATGCATTTGAGCCGTTGTGAACGATTTTGAGTGCCGTATCAGCAACAATCTCAAGTCATTGAATCTTGACATCTTGTAGGCCTCAGGTAGTGTACAGCTACTTCATATGTGGCTGAAATCAACAGAGGACTGATTTGACCAACACTGACTCTTTTCTTACCTAATTCTTTGTTCTGGAGGGCTCCGCGTGCTTTTGGAAGTGTGTGGGCGGTTGTCATTTCCCGGTTGCCCACACCATGCAAGTTGATTTATTCTTTGCGTACCTGAAAAAGAAAGAGAATTAGTGTTGCGTTACTGCAGGGCTCAGGGGACAACTACTTGAGTCTAGTCACACACGGCCTGTCTGAGCTGGCTTTTTGTTTTGATTCCATATTAGATTGCTATCAGTTTCGGACCACCGTAGGGTAAGTCGGAATGGACAGACAGCATAGTTGATATGCTGGTCATCTTAGAGATACACCCCTCTTCTGTTACATCTTCACTGCCCAGCAGTACAACTTTGCCCACAGACCCCCAACATAGTGTAAAAGAAATCTTACACTAAGCCGGTAACTACTTTTAGTCTAATCGCTATCCTAACAATCTTCCTGGCATAGTAGGATCTGCAGGAACAATAGTTCCAGCCACTGTAGCCTTTTGGTTCATTGCAATATACAATCCTGACCACCTCGTCAAAGTAGCAGCTGTCGGTCGGTGAAGTGTGGCAACTCGAACTGCTGCACATCGGTATAAAGTTCTACGTTGAAACCGGTCAGTCAATAATCCTATGTTAGTTAGAGAACTTTGCTTGACGAAGAAGACGATAGTTTAACATCCCGAGGATCCAAATCAGGCAATTGACACCTCCCTATGCGGTTGAAACCAACTGTCAAAGACTTCATGGGATGACGCCAGGTGGTAGTGTAACCACCCAATTTAATCCTCTGTTGACCATCAACATCGCCCTTCTAGGATGGCGTTGAATTAGAATGGAGCAATGCGTGTCTTAGCCATCTCAATCGATACACAACTTCACAACCTCATCGATTGACTTTCCTACTGTTTACCTATTTGTTGTTCATGCTATTTACCAGGATGACAATCATTCACTGCATGTAACACCACCCTAAAATGATGGAGATATTTGTTGATCTCATTGGAAATCTTATCGTGTCGTTTTTCACAATTTAAATGAAATGATTTATTTAATTTATTTAGGTAGAGTTTTCGCAGAATCATATCTTAACATTTTTATTTTCTTATCATCATGTAAAAAGCATTGTTGTTATGTGAATCATGCTTTTTCTAGCTAATGGGAACTGCTTTTCTGTTGTGTGCGTGTGTGTAGAGCTGTGCTTGAAAACCAGCCATAAGATGTCTGAAAGTATAATAGTGGAGTAGGTATGCTTAAAAAATCTCAAGTAGTTTAATACCCTCTACTGTTAAATACATTTAAGCGGTATGAAATCCTACAATAAATAAATAGCTGCCCTCAGCAGGATTGTCTAGCACAGTCTGTTTTCATCCTGCGTCCCCCCACACTCACACTCACTTCAGCTGTAGTGTTCGAGTGTGTGTGTGAAAGAGGAAGAGAGTCAACACTTTTTTAAAATTATATTTGTAAAATCTCAGCGAAATTGAAATGATTAATTCCAACGTTTCGTTCGGCAATCTGGTCCGAACTTCTTCAGGGAAATTAATCGAAATTAACATAACAGAGGTTTATATATAAAAGGAACATCTCTTGTTTTTCAAACTTTGTCCAATCATGAGCCATGAAACAGGCATCAACATGTATAATAAACAAAATTGTATGAACTGTGATCAAAATTTGACCTCAAACATAATTTTATAAATGTCTACTTCTCACTCGGTGCTCAATTATTTTGCAACTATCCGGTCAAATCTTGATCACAGTTCATAGGAAGAGAGTTAGTTAGCTAGTTGAGGGACTGATTTCATGCATTCTTATGTTGAGTTTTTCTATTATTTTTGTTGTTGTCTAAATCTAAGAAACGCAGAAAAACGCTACAACACCAACACCAGCAACAACAACAACAATCGTCAATATTTCAGTCCAATGAGAATAACAGTATTTGCCTCACTGATACAGATGATGTGTGCATTTCAGTTAAATCTGAACCAGATTCTGAACTATCAGAAGGTGCGTTTTGATTATTCATTTATTTATTCATTTATTTAGTCATTTACCTAATTACTTTTTACTCACTAAACTGTTAGTCAATCATCTTGAGAAGTATTCAATGAGAGAAAAACACTTGAGTTTATCACTGTGAGACGTAGTGTAACGCTGGAAGACGAGAGATTTAGTAAAGGAATGTTTATTTGGAATTTGGTATCTCTATATACAGCTGAATTATGTACACTCTTATCGTCAAATCACCACTACTGGCACAGATCTTCTGTATTGTGCTACTTCTGTGTGTTCCTTTCACGTCGTCTCCCATGTATCTCTGCGACGTTGTATCACATTTGCCTTCTCGGACATCAAATCTATCTCCGTGCTATTTGATGTTTTTATGCGAGTGAACGTCTCTTCATGTACTACTGGTAAATCTTATCAGTGGCACACATACCACACTGGTACTAATAAAGCATAGCGCAGAGGTGATCAAAGAGGAAACGAAAAAGAGATGATGGTGATGTCAACTGATTATCATCGTTATTACTTATATTATTGTTCCGAATGCAACATAAGGCGTCAAACTTGAGGTGTAAAGGCTCAGTGGCAGTGCTGTCTGTCTTTTACGAAGTAAAGATGACAACCTCACTCCTAACCGTCTCTCTTCGTACGTGCCTTACAACTGGTTAAGTGAGATTTAGGCGGACATTGGCCTGAAATCAGACAGAACCTCGAATCATGTGAGTATGTATTCATGGATTATTTCAATCCAACAGTGATTGAATCGTAATTTGCACTTACCTCATAACTTGAAGTGTTTGTGTTTAATTCTGCTAGGAGTCATGTGCGCGTACCTCTGTTAAGCCGTGAAACTAGGACACTACCCCCCCTCCCATCTGATGTTGGCTTGTGACGAAATTCATTTTGAAAGTTTCTAGAATACCATGAGACAAACGAAGAAGAAGAAGCAGACAATTCAAGCCAAGTGCCCAGTGCATCCAACATCTACCTGACTGCTATGCAGACAACGGTTTTCCATCACTAACTGAGAGTTCAAAGGCTGTTTCTAATCTGAAACAAAGCAAAGCAGCAGGATCTGGTGGAATGACTCCACTGGTGTTAAAAGACGTTGGTGATGAACGGATGTATGGGCTAACTAAGATATCAGGTAATTCCTGGTAGTCAGACGTAGTTCCGTGAGGCTGGTTTAAATCACGGATTATCCCAGCTCTTAAGAATCAAGACACAAGGCATTCTGTGATAATCATAAGGGGGGGAGGGGGATAAGCTTAACTAATATTGTGTCTGAAGTCCTAGCTTCAGTAATCATGTGCAGATTAAATGGTGTTCGGGAAAAACAAACACGAGAAAACTAGACAGCTTTAGGCCGGGAAGAGGGTGTATTGTTCATATATTCACCCTTCGACAGGTTCTGGAACATAGTCATACCTACCAGAGTTCAACACTCGTTATATATTTCATCTAGAGGTTACATTCGAATCCGTCAACCGAGAGGTTTGTGAAAGTGTTTTGCCGTGAATGAACTGCGGAGAAAATACATCTCATTGATCAAGGTACTGTAATCAAACTCACACAGTCATTTAAAAGCTCATGAAGAGTTGTCATCTGTGATGATAACCAACAGTGTCCGTCAAGGATGTCAGTTGTGCCTATTTTTGTTTATCTTCATCATAGATGTACTAGTGGAATCAGCCCCAAGTGACTTTAGTGGCATAGCGATTGACTTATTGCCTGAAGACAATCTTATTGATTTAGAGTATGCGAACGATATCATCCTTCTTCTAGGCGAAGACACAGATAAAGTGCAGTCATGCGAACACCTTGAGCAGAAATCTTAGTATGTTGGGCATATGATTCACTCCTGTCACATATTAGATGATACTGCACGACTGGAACGCCACCATCTTCTAGTTTAAAGACGGCAAGGAGTGGAGCGTGTTGACCACATTGCTTATTTGAAAAGTTACATTGGCTCTAATGGACTGATTGCTGACAAAATCCCTTTTGTGGGCTAACGTAAAGATAGTCGATTAAGAGTGAACCAATTTCACATATGAAATTCTAAGATTTCTTATGCATAGGCTTCAAAACCTTCATATATACTTGGGAAGATTTGTAACTCGGGTAAATGCTTTCTGTTGCCTTTTCTGAGCGGAATGGGTGAGGTTTTTATTGTTCTTCTTGACATCTTCAACGTTAACTTCAGTGTGTAGAGTGAGCTTAGAAGATTTTGTACATGGGTGAAATTATTTTATTCTCAAGTCTTATTTTACAATTTGAAGTTTAATCACGAATCAGCATCAGTGATTGAGAGAGAGAGAGAGAGCTATTGAAAACCATAGAGTACTGAACAGCTGTTTGCTCTTAGTCTGGGATACTTCCGTTGCAATACACTCCCATGACTACTCCATCGACTGGCTGTTGCCCCTGTATCTCACAAATTGGCATAACTAAGTTAGAATCCACGGGCCATTCCGTCCCAGCAGCAGCTGAATGGTGTGGTAACCTGAAGTTCTTTGGTCTTATTCGTGCTGGTGTGCTGCTGAAGAGTCCTGTGCTGGAATGAAAGAAATAGTTGTCAGGTATACGCCTTAATTTTCAATGGTGACCTCTACTGAGGCTTGTTGTTATCGTAGGTTCCCTTATGTGTTTGTGTATCCACTTGTGACTGAGTATTTCAATTTCAACGTCAAGATTTGTCCAGAATATATATCGTCCAGAAATACGAATTTTTGTGTTTTGTAGAGTAGCAGATGTTTAATGATCAAGCTTTGTTATTAATTAAGAAACACACTCTACTTGAGACGAAAATACTCAGATGGATGATTTCCAGGTAGTCGCGTTCTCTAAGCGAAGGTTTTCAGGAGATACAACTACGTTGTCATTCCTGGAGAATTTGACCAAGTTCACTTCCTATTGGAGTTTGTGCTAAAGATGTGTTGTCTACAAAGACAGTATGAAAACACCTCCCCATTTAAAAGGCATCCAGCTCAGAAAATGCAACCATATCAAAAAATTTTTAATAATTTTTTTTTAATTTGTAGATGGATGTATTAATGTAATCTTTCTTGACTTTGTTTCTTTTTTTCTTTTATTTTGTTCAGCCAATTGTTCATTTACTACACCAGCTCATCCTTCAGCTTGTTCTTCTGGTAAGAAGAATAATTAACCGAGACTTTCGTGTTGTAAGTTCTCCGTCTTTTTCATCATACTTTCCCCCACCCACCACCACCACCACCACCTTGATTTTCATTGGTTCTCTGACTGACGTTGTTTCATCATATATAATCTATCACATAAACACTGTTAGCTTTGTTTTTTCTCCTCAATTGGTTATATTCATTCTGGTCCCGTAATCTGAATTTCTCAAGTTCATTCCCTGATGATGTCCTGGGTGGCATTCACCAACTTACGTCATCTTTGGCGTAGACATGAAATCCGACTCTCCATCAAAGGAGGTATGCACTGCGCAGCAATCCGCTCCGTTCTCCTCCATGGCTTTGAGGCAGGGACTTTGACAGTGGAGGATATGATAAGGTTAGCTATCTTTGATCATAGGGTGTATGGGTTATATCTCTTGTGTTAAATGGTGTAATACAGTGATGTTAGGCAAGGAGAGTGAGTCAATCGACTGAGATGGCCAGGGCACGCATCGCTCATGCCGAGCCATCGCCTTCCTCGACGAGCAATGTTCGCTGCCACAGGAATAAGTTGGTAGTGGTGGTCATACTCAAATCTGCCATCAGTCCATAAGGTCTTTGACAAGTTGGTTTGAGTCAGTCACGTGGGGAAGTGTTGTAGGCTTCCTGCTTGGGATCCTCAGGATGCTAAGAGCCAATGTTGTAGTCAACAATAGAATTAATCCAGATCTACACAACAACAAAAATAAACCCATAACTTCCTCTACACGCACACGCACGCATGAATAAAGTCTTTTTGATGCAAAAGCTTTCAATGCTATTTCTTGTTCAACTGAAATTGTTTTCTTGTCTTAAAATTAGTCTCCCAATCAATCTATCTATCTATCAATTAATGGGTGAATCAATACAGCTCTACAATATCTCCGAACATAACGAATATCCTGTTGTTGTTATGTAGTACTCATTCTCAGGACTAGTGACACAATGTTTATTATCCTTTAAAGAGATTCTGTTTTGCTTCTGTCTTTCTCTCCTCTTATGCAATGATTTTTTTCACTGATTGTGTCACTTAGGTACGCACACACGCGCGCAAACCGCACTCAAACATTATATCACCACTGTATGTGTGTGCGAACATTTTCACCCCCGCATGCTCTTCCCTAGTTCTACCCCTCCCTTCCCTGCCGCCACCACTCCTCCTTTTCTCTCTCTCCCTCTGTCTCTCTGTTCTCCTAAACCTGAAATGACTTACCTCATCTAGTCAGTCAGTTTGCTTTTATCCCTCATTAACGTCTTTCTGTGAGTTTGTTTTGACTTTTTCATGCACATTATTATTATTATTATTATTATTATTATTATTATTATTATCGTCATCATCATCATCATCTTTGTTCTGTTGCGAAAAACCGAAACAGGTGAATTATATAACATTTCTCTGTATCCAGTTTTCTTTACACTTACCAACGCCCCCTCCTTTCCATTACTGGCTCGAGTATTCCTGCCGCCTCGCATCACCCCCCCCACCCCCGGTGTTTTCGAACACACTCACTATTCACCTGAATTTCTAGTTTATCCACGGAGAGAATGACATCGGAAACTGATGGTTAGTAGTAGTAGTAGCAGCAGTCTCTTGACTTTTTTTACTGTCCATCCAGTTTCTAGAACTACTGCCGTTGTGTACGTGTGTGTGTGTGGTCGGGGGGGGGTGATGAGTAGACTGTATTCCACTCGTTATTGTTCGTATCTTACCAACTGCTCATATATGCGCTTATTGAATCACATTTCTACCTAAGCACTGTCTCTCACACACACACAACCACACACAGGGGAAACCTTGTTGTTGTTGTTCGAGTTCGTTTATTTTCTCCTTTTCCATTTGCTCCTGCTTTCCTGTATTGTGTATTCTCAGTTGTGCTTGTCTTTTTCTCCGATAGCTAGAGCGAATAATGAACCTTGTTAGGAGACAATTATCGGTTGGTAGAAGAAGAAGAAGACGAAGAAGAAGGAAACACTGGAGAGGAAAAAAATAACACAAAACAAAATTTATTTTTGTTAGATCAATAAGTTTCATTCAGTTAATCATCTCTTTTTCCTCTACTTTGCTTTACCTTACCTTGCATTCTTCATCATTCTGGTAATTTCTGTGTAATGCATTTCAGTTGAGATTTTGATGTCCTTCTCCACTTTTATTCTTCTCTTTCTATCTTGTTTCGAGGTCAAAAATGTTGAATAACCACATTGATAATAGTAGTTAGTGGTGAAGTGTCTCTTTTTGTTTCTGAATATGAATGAAGCTCAAATCAATCTATCTTCTTTTTCTTCTGTTAAATATCGTTTTATTCTAGATTGGAAACATTTTTTGTAGGTTTGACTCACTGTCATGAGTTCATATTCTTCATGGGGGCTTTGGGTATCAGGTTTGATCACTAGATGACATCAGTTAGATAACCATTGGTAAACCTGGGAGGGAGTCTTGGACAGCTATTTCGTCCTTGTTTGGGAATCTTCATCAGTATGCACCCACCACTGGGGTTCGAACCCAGCACCTTCAGGTTAAAAAACGACCCCGTAAACAATTCAGCCACTGGAAGCCGATCCAATGGCCGATTCCCGATATGTATAACGTAATCAGTATCTCAGTGAAATTGTCACTTCTCAACGAAAGTACAGTTGGTATATACTTTCTTTCATTTGTATTCATAAGGATGGTATTTTCCAGGGTGTCGTCAAAAGGTTCACTCATCTTTTCTTGGCTCGTTTCTACATGGAAGGCTAGTTTCAACATGACTGTTTTTTCTCTATTCGTTTACAAAGAAGAATAGCATGGCGTCATCACTTTGCTGATGCACCACTGTAATTTCGAGAGTATTTTTATTATCTTTTCATCTGACATTTACTTTATACTTACATGGATAAGATTCCCAACTTTCGATACTTAACAGTAGGATAGAGGAGATATGGACTGTTTGTTTAACCACTTCTTGGCTTTCAGTCAATACATCCCGGTTTTGAATCCCCCTCTTTCTCTCTCTGTCTGTCTAACTACTTCATCTGCGCAGTATCATGACAGTCTGATTAAAACTTGGGCTACCAGAAACTTCCATCATTATAGTGCATATAATTTCTTTTGTTCAGTTTGTCTTAATCTATGAAAACATGACTGACCTACAATGGTGTTTTCTACTCTCGTGAGTATTACAAATGTCTACAACCTGCTGATTCAGGTTAGGCATTGAGTGCTAGGGTAAAGAGGGAGGGGAAATCAATAGATGAGGCTGTGAAGTTACATCGATTGAGATGGTTAGGACATGTGTTACGTATGCATGCCTAGCCATCACCTTCCTCGACGAGCAATGTTAGCTGATATAGGGCCAGGTTGGAAAACAGCCAGTGGCGGTCAAACCAAAACATGGCACCAATTAGTTTAGGTCACGCAGAAAGGTGTAGACTGGCTTCCTGGTTAGAGTCCTCGGGACGGTAAAAACCAATGGCTGGAGACAATTGGTGATATGGCTCGAAATCGTTCTCAATGGCTGGCGCAGATGCATCCACTCCTTGTGACTTATAATACCCAATGAAACTATATTGTTCATCGATGTTACTATGCCTTTTGTCTGTTTATTGTCTCTGTTTTGTATTTCTTTTTACTTTCTTCTCTTGTTTTGTGTGCCACATGGAATGTGGCGACTTGATCTGCTGCACATCGGTGCAAAGTTCTGTGTTGACTCCAGTTAGTCACACAGACAACCTGCTGATTCGCAAGTTTCTATTAAATTTGAGAAAAAGCTAAATCGTGTGTGGGAACTTATCCTGGGATTTTTCGTACAAAACTGCCTGCCACTGTTTGAGCAATGTCCTTGTGTCAAAAACATGTGCTCCTGCACTTTTTTTTTAATTGGCTTTCAAAGCAAATGTTGTACATTTTTTGAAGAAGGCAAAGAAGAAATACCATAAAGAGGGATTGGTTACCACTTCAGATCTGACTGCATTGTATGACGCGATTTACTGTCACAGTCACTATTTTTCTTGAAGATTGTGGACAAAAAGAAATTATTACGCAAAGATTTCAGCTGAAAATTCTGTACATTATATAAATACTGTTCAAAATAAAGCTATTATTTCATACAATGATTCCCTTTTATAAATTTGAACAAAGAAAGAAGAAACATTGGCGCAGAATAATCTGGATCCATTTTATTTCGTTGGTTCTCATCAGCTGCGTACAACCTTTGTCCATAGCAATCATAGTGTCAGAGCGTCATAGTAAAATAAGGCATTGAGATTTACAGGATGTCTTAAGTGTCACGACATATATATATAATATATATATATATATATACATCTTATTACTGTCATTATCAACTCTTACAATAATTATGTGGTTCACAGCCTGTTACCATGTGAATGAGTTCTACTAACTTACTCAACAGCAGAACGTTGGTTGTCTTAAAATGACTTGTTGTGATATCTTTAGTTCAACTATTAGTAATGTAATTGGTTTCTTCTGAATTACTTAGTGTTGCTGTCGGTAGTTTCATTTAGAGTTGGAAAGACAATCGTTTCTCTTTCATTGTTGAGGAATATCAACAAATGCGAATTTCATGTCTTCATCCTTTTTTGACATTCAACGTCTAGAATTTCCTACAGATCAGCTTTAACTACTATTATTTTTCGTCCCTTGGGTTCTGAGCAGCCCATTTCCATTTCATTGTGTTCCCCATCGCGTCATTTCTAGCCGACTCCATGACTGTCCATAAGGTATTATCTCCTCCATATCACTCCCCCCTCCCGGACACTTATCCATACCTTCACCTCCCATCAGTGTATTTTAACAGTTTTAACTTGATTACTTCATTCAATAAGTTGATCAGTAGAAGTTGGGGTGACCACTTAACGATAGCAGTAGTCTGGAGTCAATTGATTTTTTTTAAAGTTTGCATTCCTTGCTTACCTTTTTCTTCTTACTACCTTGATGAAACGATAGAAACTGGTAGGTTTTGACTTCCAATTAACCTTTCTCATTGTCACG